GGAGGTATGTGTTACTGACAGTAGGAGGTATGTGATATTGACAGTAGGAGGTAGGTGTTACTGACAGTAGGAGGGATGTGTTACTGACAGTAGGATGTGTGTGTTACTGACAGTAGGAGGTAGGTGTTAGAGAGAGGAGATAGGTGTTACTGACAGTAGGAGGTATGTGTTACTGACAGTAGGAGGTATGTGTTACTGACAGTAGGAGGTAGATGTTACTGGCAGTATTAGGTGTGTGTTACTGACAGTAGGAGGTGTGTGTTACTGACAGTAGGAGGTATGTGTTACTGACTGTAAGAGGTATGTGTTACTGACAGTAGGAGGTAGGTGTTACTGGCAGTAGGAGGTATGTGTTACTGATTGTAGGAAGGATGTGTTACTGACAGTAGGAGGTAGGTGTTACTGACAGTAGGAGATAGGTGTTACTGGCAGTAGGAGGTACGTGATACTGACAGTAGGAGGTATGTGTTACTGACAGTAGGAGGTAGGTGTTACTGACACTACAAGGTATGTGTTACTGACAGTAGGAGGTATGTGTTACTGACAGTAGGAGGTATGTGTTACTGACAGTAGGAGGTAGGTGTTACAGACAGAGGGAGGTAGGTGTTACTGGCAGTGGGAGGTACGTGTTACTGTTAGTAGGAGGTGTGTGTTACTGACAGTAGTAGGTGTGTGTTACTGACAGTAGGAGGTAGGTGTTACTGACACTACAAGGTATGTGTTACTGACAGTAGGAGGTGTGTGTTACTGACAGTAGGAGATATGTCTTACTGCCAGTAGGAGGTATGTGTTACTGACACTAGGAGGTGTGTGTTACAGACAGTAGGAGGTGTGTGTTACTGACAGTAGGAGGTAGGTGTTACTGGCACTAGGAGGAATGTGTTACTGACTGTAGGAGGGATGTGTTACTGACAGTAGGAGGTATGTGTTACTGACAGTAGGAGGTATGTGTTACTGACAGTAGGAGGTAGGTATAACTGACAGTAGGAGGTATGTGTTATTGACAGTAGGAGGTAGGTGTTACTGACACTACAAGGTATGTGTTACTGACAGTAGGAGGTAGGTGTTACTGACAGTAGGAGGTATGTGTTACTGAGAGTAGGAGGTAGGTGTTACTGGCAGTAGGAGGTAGGTGTTACTGACAGTAGGAGGTAGGTGTTTCTGACAGTAGGAGGTAGGTGTTACTGACAGTAGGAGGTAGGTGTTACTGGCAGTAGGAGGTATGTGTTACTGACTGTAGGAGGGATGTGTTACTGACAGTTGGAGGTAGGTGTTACTGACTGTAGGAGGTATGTGTTACTGATAGTAGGAGGTGTGTGTTACAGACAGTAGGAGGTGTGTGTTACTGACAGAGGTATGTATGTGTTACTGACAGAGGGAGGTGTGTGTTACTGACATTAGGAGGTAGGTGTTACTGACACTACAAGGTGTGTTTTACTGACAGTAGGAGGTATGTGTTACTGACAGTAGGAGGTGTGTGTTACTGACAGTAGGAGGTAGGTGTTACTGACAGTAGGAGGTATGTGTTACTGACTGTAGGAGGGATGTGTTACTGACAGTAGGAGGTAGGTGTTACTGACAGTAGGAGGTAGGTGTTACTGGCAGTAGGAGGTATGTGTTACTGACAGTAGGATGTATGTTTTACTGACAGTTGGAAGTACGTGTTACTGACAGTAGGAGGTGTGTGTTACTGACTGTAGGAGGTATGTGTTACTGATAGTAGGAGGTGTGTGTTACAGACAGTAGGAGGTGTGTGTTACTGACAGTAGGAGGTTGGTGTTACTGGCAGTAGGAGGTATGTGTTACTGACTGTAGGAGGGATGTGTTACTGACAGTAGGAGGTATGTGTTACTGACAGTAGGAGGTGTGTGTTACTGACAGTAGGAGGTAGGTGTTACTGGCAGTAGGAGGTATGTGTTACTGACTGTAGGAGGGATGTGTTACTGACAGTAGGAGGTAGGTGTTACTGACAGTAGGAGGTAGGTGTTACTGGCAGTAGGAGGTATGTGTTACTGACAGTAGGATGTATGTTTTACTGACAGTAGGAAGTACGTGTTACTGACAGGAGGAGGTGTGTGGTACTGACTGTAGGAGGTAGGTGTTACTGATACTACAAGGTATGTGTTACTGACAGTAGGAGGTGTGTGTTACTGACTGTAGGAGGTATGTGTTACTGATAGTAGGAGGTGTGTGTTACAGACAGTAGGAGGTGTGTGTTACTGACAGTAGGAGGTTGGTGTTACTGGCAGTAGGAGGTATGTGTTACTGACTGTAGGAGGGATGTGTTACTGACAGTAGGAGGTAGGTGTTACTGACAGTAGGAGGTAGGTGTTACTGGCAGTAGGAGGTAGGTGATACTGACAGTAGGAGGTATGTGTTACTGACAGTAGGAGGTAGGTGTTACTGGCAGTAGGAGGTAGGTGATACTGACAGTAGGAGGTATGTGTTACTGACAGTAGGAGGTAGGTGTTACTGACACTACAAGGTATGTGTTACTGACAGTAGGAGGTAGGTGTTACTGACAGTAGGAGGTATGTGTTACTGAGAGTAGGAGGTAGGTGTTACTGGCAGTAGGAGGTAGGTGTTACTGACAGTAGGAGGTAGGTGTTACTGACAGTAGGAGGTATGTGTTACTGACAGTAGGAGGTATGTGTTACTGACAGAGGTATGTATGTGTTACTGACAGAGGGAGGTGTGTGTTACTGACAGTAGGAGGTAGGTGTTACTGACACTACAAGGTGTGTTTTACTGACAGTAGGAGGTATGTGTTACTGACAGTAGGAGGTGTGTGTTACTGACAGTAGGAGGTGTGTGTTACTGACAGTAGGAGGTGTGTGTTACTGACAGTAGGAGGTATGTGTTACTGACAGTAGGAGGTAGGTGTTAATGACAGTAGGTGTTACTGTAGGAGGTAGTGTTACTGACACTACAAGGTACTGACAGTAGGAGGTAGGTGTTACTGACTGTTACTGACAGTAGGAGGTAGGTGTTACTGGCAGGTAGTGTGTTACTGACAGTAGGAGGTAGTGTTACTGACAGTAGGTTAGGTGTGTTACTGACAGTGGAGGTAGACAGTAGGAGGTATGTGTTACTGACAGTAGGAGGTATGTGTTACTGACAGTAGGAGGTAGGTGTTACTGACAGTAGGAGGTGTGTGTTACTGACAGTAGGAGGTGTGTGTTACTGACAGTAGGAGGTATGTGTTACTGACAGTAGGAGGTGTGTGTTACTGACAGTAGGATGTATGTTTTACTGACAGTAGGAAGTACGTGTTACTGACAGTAGGAGGTGTGTGTTACTGACAGTAGGAGGTGTGTGTTATTGACAGTAGGAGGTGTGTGTTACTGACAGTAGGAGGTGTGTGTTATTGACAGTAGGAGGTGTGTGTTACTGACAGTTAGGAGGTAGTGTTACTGACAGTAGGAGTACTATGTTACTGACAGTAGGAGGTTTTTAGGTGACACTACAAGGTATGTGTTACTGACAGTAGGAGGTAGGTGTTACTGACAGTAGGAGGTAGGTGTTACTGACAGTAGGAGGTGTGTGTTACTGACAGTAGGAGGTTTGTGTTACTGACAGTAGGAGGTATGTGTTACTGACAGTAGGAGGTGTGTGTTACTGACTGAGTAGGAGGTATGTGTTACTGTCAGTAGGAGGTGTGTGGTACTGACAGTAGGAGGTATGTGTTACTGACAGTAGGAGGTGTGTGTTACTGACAGTAGGAGGTGTGTGTTACTGACAGTAGGAGGTAGGTGTTACTGTCACTAGTAGGTGTTTTACTGACAGTAGGAGGTATGTGTTACTGACAGTAGGAGGTGTGTGGTACTGACAGTAGGAGGTGTGTGTTACTGACAGTAGGAGGTGTGTGTTACTGACAGTAGGAGGGATGTGTTACTGACAGTAGGAGGTATGTGTTACTGACAGTAGGAGGTGTGTGTTACTGACAGTAGGAGGTGTGTGTTACTGACAGTAGGAGGTAGGTGTTACTGGCAGTAGGAGGTATGTGTTACTGACTGTAGGATGTATGTGTTACTGACAGTAGGAGGTATGTGTTACTGACAGTAGGAGGTGTGTGTTACTGACAGTAGGAGGTATGTGTTACTGACATTAGGAGGTAGGTGTTACTGTCACTACAAGGTGTGTTTTACTGACAGTAGGAGGTATGTGTTACTGACAGTAGGAGGTAGGTGTTACTGACAGTAGGAGGTGTGTGTTACTGACAGTAGGAGGTGTGTGTTACTGACAGTAGGAGGTGTGTGTTACTGACAGTAGGAGGTGTGTGTTATTGACAGTAGGAGGTGTGTGTTACTGACAGTAGGAGGTGTGTGTTATTGACAGTAGGAGGTGTGTGTTACTGACAGTAGGAGGTAGGTGTTACTGACAGTAGGAGGTGTGTGTTACTGACAGTAGGAGGTGTGTGTTACTGACAGTAGGAGGTGTGTGTTACTGACAGTAGGAGGTATGTGTTACTGACAGTAGGAGGTGTGTGTTACTGACAGTAGTTTTTACTCAGAGCAGGATGTAGGTAATTACTATTGTTTGTATGAATCTTTTCATGTATTGTTATTTAGTCTAATTTGTTCTGATGTTTGTGGTAAATCTTTGTGAAGAAGAATTAGAATTACATTTAAAGAGTTTGTTTTTAGTCAGTTTGAAATGTTGTTACGTTATCATTGTGTAGAAATGTCGTTATCATTGTGTAGAAATGATGTTATGTTATCATTGTGTAGAAATGATGTTACGTTATCATTGTGTATAAATGATGTTACGTTATCATTGTGTAGAAATGTTGTTACGTTATCATTGTGTATAAATGATGGTTCCTTTTGGATTTGTTATCAACATGTCTTATGCCCCCGAATCCTCTGATGTTGTCATTATTTCATTAAGACCTGGTCGATAATGTCCACGCTCTAAGAACGGCAACAGAAAACATTATTGGTGACAAAATATCAAAGTTTGTCATTAACGTGGACAGACCTCAGCTGTTTAACATTGCCATGGATCACTACCGAGTTAAGATCTCCAAACCGGAACAAATCCACGAAACTCTAATGGTGATCTTCAAGGATGAGGACCCTTTGGATGGAAACGCACCGAGAAGGGAATTTTATTCCGTCTTTTTCCAGTGCTGCCTTTTTAACGAGAGAATGTTGGTAGGACCAGGAAGACGTTTAGTTCCCTCAAACGAAATCACCGTGACACAAAATAATCAGTTGGCTGCCCTCGGGGTGGCCATTGTAGAGGCTATCGTGAATGGTGACTGCGGATTCCCGTATCTGAATGAGGCTCTGTACCATTATATTATTGGAGATAAAGAATACGAGAAGTATCTCAGAATGGAAGATATTCCTGACCATGATATACTTTATTTTACCCAACAGGTAAGACCGAAAATTTGAATAAGGACTCAAACGATAATTTTTTTAATATAAGTACATCATCCACCAGAATCCGTGTTCTGCAGCGCACATTTTGTATTGTGTGCTTACGTAAATATATCTTTCACCACAGGATATCTGAGTAAGGTATGTCACCATTATTCTCTTGTATTGTAGTTAATGGCTGCTGAAACAGATGATGGCGTCAAAAGTGTTTGGTGCTCAAGAAGTGGTGATTGTATGGACGGTACAGGCTGGCCAGCCACCCGAGATGTAAAGGTATACCTTGACATTCATACACTTGAATACGTACTGTTAATACAAACCTAACGTCTGGTTACTTATGTTTTCTTTGCTAATGTTCTTGATGATAGAAAAATCGAAACTGAAGTTTGTAATAATATGATCGTTTTTATTTCCAATTAGTTATCGAACCGGAATGAATTGGTTCAACACTTAGCTAAGTGGAGCGTGATAGAGAAACGCCGGACAGCGATAGACCAGTTTAAAGAGGGACTCAACTACAGGAACTTTTTGGACTCGCTGAAAACCAACAAACTGCTCAAATGCCTGCTGGTATTCTCAGGAGAGTATTGTGTTACAGCCAACTATCTCGAGAGGATGCTGCGACCAGCACTAGTCCAACTTAAAGTCAACAATAAAGAGGAAGACCAGGCCAAAAAATTCTTTTATCAACTGTTGAAAGAAATTACAGGTACCAAGTTAATGCTTGCTATCAAAAGTTGAAACCTGTCTAGATCGGAAAAAACCTTATAGTAAAACCTGTCTAAACCGAATCAATCACTGCCAATAATGTTTAACTCGGATGTACAGCGTAACATATCTATTCTAAAACCGGTCTAAACTAACTCATAGTAACCTTATATTGACATAACTGACCCGAACATATAAAAAAGACATGTCTTAACTGACCCGAGCATATAAAATAGGATCTGTCTTAACTGACCTGAACATATCTAGTTAGACCTGTCTTAATTGACCAAAGTATATAAAGTAAGACCTGTCTTAACTGACCAAAGTATATCAAGTAAGACTTGTCTTAACTGACCAAAGTATATCAAGTAAGACATGTCTTAACTGACCGAAGTGTATAAAGTAAGACTTGTCTTAACTGACCCGAACATATCTAGTGGGATCTGTCTTAACTGACCAAATTTATAAAGTAAGACCTGTCTTAACTGACCGAAGTGTATAAAGAAAGACCTGTCTTAACTGACCGAAGTATATAAAGAAAGACCTGTCTTAACTGACCGAAGTATATAAAGAAAGACCTGTCTTAACTGACCGAAGTATATAAAGAAAGACCTGTCTTAACTGACCGAAGTGTATAAAGAAAGACCTGTCTTAACTGACCCGAACATATCTAGTGGGATCTGTCTTAACTGACCAAATTTATAAAGTAAGACCTGTCTTAACTGACCGAAGTATATAAAGAAAGACCTGTCTTAACTGACCGAAGTGTATAAAGAAAGACCTGTCTTAACTGACCGAAGTGTATAAAGAAAGACCTGTCTTAACTGACCGAAGTGTATAAAGAAAGACCTGTCTTAACTGACCGAAGTGTATAAAGAAAGACCTGTCTTAACTGACCGAAGTGTATAAAGAAAGACCTGTCTTAACTGACCGAAGTGTATAAAGAAAGACCTGTCTTAACTGACCAAAGTATATCAAGTAAGACCTGTCTTAACTGCACTGAACATTTCTTATAAAACATGTGATAACTGACCCAAACATATGTACTATAACCTGCCTAAATAACCTGGACGCATATCAAGGGTATAAAAAGTTGTCTGAATTGACCAAGGCATAATTATAGAGAACGATCTGTGTCAACTGACCTGGACATAATTATAGAGAAATATCTGTGTCAACAGACCAGGGCATAATTATAGAGAACGATCTGTGTCAACTGACCAGGACATAATTATAGAGAAAGATCCCTGTCAACTGACGAGGACATAATTATAGAGAAATATCTGTGTCAACTGACCAGGGCATAATTATAGAGAAATATCTGTGTCAACTGACCTGGACATAATTATAGAGAAAGATCTGTGTCAACTGACCAGGGCATAATTATAGAGAAATATCTGTGTCAACTGACCTGGACATAATTATAGAGAAAGATCTGTGTCAACTGACCAGGACATAATTATAGAGAAAGATCTGTGTCAACTGACCTGGACATAATTATAGAGACAGATCTGTGTCAACTGACCTGGACATAATTATAGAGAAATATCTGTGTCAACAGACCAGGGCATAATTATAGAGAAATATCTGTGTCAACTGACCTGGACATAATTATAGAGAAAGATCTGTGTCAACTGACCTGGACATAATTATAGAGAAAGATCTGTGTCAACTGACCTGGACATAATTATAGAGACAGATCTGTGTCAACTGACCTGGACATAATTATAGAGAAAGATCTGTGTCAACTGACCTGGACATAATTATAGAGAAATATCTGTGTCAACAGACCAGGGCATAATTATAGAGAAATATCTGTGTCAACTGACCTGGACATAATTATAGAGAAAGATCTGTGTCAACTGACCAGGACATAATTATAGAGAAAGATCTGTGTCAACTGACCTGGACATAATTATAGAGACAGATCTGTGTCAACTGACCTGGACATAATTATAGAGAAATATTTGTGTCAACTGACCTGGACATAATTATAGAGAAATATCTGTGTCAACAGACCAGGGCATAATTATAGAGAAATATCTGTGTCAACTGACCTGGACATAATTATAGAGAAAGATCTGTGTCAACTGACCTGGACATAATTATAGAGAAAGATCTGTGTCAACTGACCTGGACATAATTATAGAGACAGATCTGTGTCAACTGACCTGGACATAATTATAGAGAAAGATTTGTGTCAACTGACCTGGATATAATCATAGAGAAATATCTGTGTCAACAGACCTGGATATAATTATAGAGAAAGATCCCTGTCAACTGACCTGGACATAATTATAGAGAAAGATCTGTGTCAACTGACCAGGACATAATTATAGAGAAAGATCCCTGTCAACTGACCAGGACATAATTATAGAGAAAGATCCCTGTCAACTGACCAGGACATAATTATAAAGAAAGATCCCTGTCAACTGACCAGGGCATAATTATAGAGAAATATCTGTGTCAACAGACCTGGACATAATTATAGAGAAAGATTTGTGTCAACTGACCAGGGCATAATTATAGAGAAAGATCTGTGTCAACTGACCTGGACATAATTATAGAGAAATATCTGTGTCAACTGACCAGGACATAATTATAGAGAAATATCTGTGTCAACAGACCTGGATATAATCATAGAGAAATATCTGTGTCAACAGACCTGGATATAATTATAGAGAAAGATCCCTGTCAACTGACCAGGACATAATTATAGAGAAAGATCTGTGTCAACTGACCAGGACATAATTATAGAGAAAGATCCCTGTCAACTGACCAGGACATAATTATAGAGAAAGATCCCTGTCAACTGACCAGGACATAATTATAGAGAAAGATCTGTGTCAACTGACCTGGACATAATTATAGAGAAATATCTGTGTCAACTGACCAGGACATAATTATAGAGAAATATCTGTGTCAACTGACCAGGACATAATTATAGAGAAAGATCTGTGTCAACTGACCTGGACATAATTATAGAGAAAGATCCCTGTCAACTGACCTGGACATAATTATAGAGAAATATCTGTGTCAACTGACCAGGACATAATTATAGAGAAAGATCTGTGTCAACAGACCTGGATATAATTATAGAGAAAGATCTGTGTCAACTGACGAGGGCATAATTATAGAGAAAGATCTGTGTCAACTGACCTGGACATAATTATAGAAAAGATTTGTGTCAACTGACCAGGACATAATTATAGAAAAGATTTGTGTCAACTGACCAGGGCATAATTATAGAGACAGATCTGTGTCAACTGACCAGGACATAATTATAGAAAAGATTTGTGTCAACTGACCAGGACATAATTATAGAAAAGATTTGTGTCAACTGACCAGGACATAATTATAGAGAAATATCTGTGTCAACAGACCTGGATATAATTATAGAGAAAGATCCCTGTCAACTGACCAGGACATAATTATAGAGAAAGATCTGTGTCAACTGACCAGGACATAATTATAGAGAAAGATCCCTGTCAATTGACCAGGACATAATTATAGAGAAAGATCCCTGTCAACTGACCAGGACATAATTATAGAGAAAGATCTGTGTCAACTGACCTGGACATAATTATAGAGAAATATCTGTGTCAACTGACCAGGACATAATTATAGAGAAATATCTGTGTCAACTGACCAGGACATAATTATAGAGAAAGATCTGTGTCAACTGACCTGGACATAATTATAGAGAAAGATCCCTGTCAACTGACCTGGACATAATTATAGAGAAATATCTGTGTCAACTGACCAGGACATAATTATAGAGAAAGATCTGTGTCAACAGACCTGGATATAATTATAGAGAAAGATCTATGTCAACTGACGAGGGCATAATTATAGAGAAAGATCTGTGTCAACTGACCTGGACATAATTATAGAAAAGATTTGTGTCAACTGACCAGGACATAATTATAGAAAAGATTTGTGTCAACTGACCAGGGCATAATTATAGAGACAGATCTGTGTCAACTGACCAGGACATAATTATAGAGAAAGATCTGTGTCAACTGACCAGGACATAATTATAGAGAAAGATCCCTGTCAACTGACCAGGACATAATTATAGAGAAATATCTGTGTCAACTGACCAGGACATAATTATAGAGAAATATCTGTGTCAACAGACCTGGATATAATTACAGAGAAAGATCTGTGTCAACTGACGAGGGCATAATTATAGAGACAGATCTGTGTCAACTGACCTGGACATAATTATAGAGAAAGATCTGTGTCAACTGACCTGGACATAATTATAGAGACAGATCTGTGTCAACTGACCAGGACATAATTATAGAGAAATATCTGTGTCAACTGACCAGGACATAATTATAGAGAAAGATCTGTGTCAACTGACCTGGACATAATTATAGAGAAAGATCTGTGTCAACTGACCTGGACATAATTATAGAGAAATATCTGTGTCAACTGACCAGGACATAATTATAGAGAAAGATCCCTGTCAACTGACCAGGACATAATTATAGAGAAAGATCTGTGTCAACTGACCAGGACATAATTATAGAGAAAGATCCCTGTCAACTGACCAGGACATAATTATAGAGAAAGATCCCTGTCAACTGACCAGGACATAATTATAGAGAAAGATCTGTGTCAACTGACCTGGACATAATTATAGAGAAATGTCTGTGTCAACTGACCAGGACATAATTATAGAGAAATATCTGTGTCAACTGACCAGGACATAATTATAGAGAAAGATCTGTGTCAACTGACCTGGACATAATTATAGAGAAAGATCCCTGTCAACTGACCTGGACATAATTATAGAGAAAGATCTGTGTCAACTGACCAGGACATAATTATAGAGAAAGATCTGTGTCAACAGACCTGGATATAATTATAGAGAAAGATCTGTGTCAACTGACGAGGGCATAATTATAGAGAAAGATCTGTGTCAACTGACCTGGACATAATTATAGAAAAGATTTGTGTCAACTGACCAGGACATAATTATAGAAAAGATTTGTGCCAACTGACCAGGGCATAATTATAGAGAACGATCTGTGTCAACTGACCAGGACATAATTATAGAGAAAGATCAACTGACCAGGACATAATTATAGAAAATATCTGTGTCAACTGACCAGGGCATAATTATAGAGAAATATCTGTGTCAACTGACCAGGACATAATTTTAGAGAAAGTTAAGTGTGTTCTGACCTGGTCATTTCTTTTGAGAAATATCTGTGTCAACTGACCTGGACATAATTATAGAGAAAGATCTGTGTCAACTGACCTGGACATAATTATAGAGACAGATCTGTGTCAACTGACCTGGACATAATTATAGAGAAATATCTGTGTCAACTGACCAGGACATAATAATTATAGATAATTATAGAGAAAGATCTGATGGACATAATTATAGAGAAAGATCTGTGTCAACTGACGTGGTCATAATTATAGAGAAAGATCTGTGTCAACTGACCTGGACATAATTATAGAGAAAGATCTGTGTCAACTGACCAGGACATAATTATAGAGAAAGATCTGTGTCAACTGACCTGGACATAATTATAGAGAAATATCTGTGTCAACTGACCAGGACATAATTATAGAGAAAGATCTGTGTCAACTGACCAGGACATAATTTTAGAGAAAGATCTGTGTCAACTGACCTGGACATAATTATACATACAGATCTGTGTCAACTGACCTGGACATAATTATAGAGAAAGATCTGTGTCAACTGACCTGGACATAATTATAGAGAAAGATCTGTGTCAACTGACCTGGACATAATTATAGAGAAAGATCTGTGTCAACTGACCTGGACATAATTATAGAGAAATATCTGTGTCAACTGGGGCATAATTATAGAGAAAGATCTGTGTCAACTGACCTGGACATAATTATAGAGAAAGATGTTGTGTAATTATAGAGAAAGATCAACTGACCAGGACATAATTATAGAGAAAGATCTGTGTCAACTGACCAGGACATAATTATAGAGAAAGATCCTGGACATGTGTCAACTGACCAGGACATAATTATAGAGAAAGATCTGTGTCAACTGACCAGGACATAATAAACGATAAAGATCACTGACAACTGACCAGGACATAATTATAGAGAAATATCTGTGTCAACTGACCAGGACATAATTATAGAGAAATATCTGTGTCAACACCACCTGGTCATATAATTATAGAGAAAGATCAGAGAAAGATCTGTGTCAACTGACCTGGGGCATAATTATAGAGACACTGTGTCAACTGACCTGGACATAATTATAGAGAAATATCTGTGTCAACTGACCAGGGCATTATTATAGAGAAATATCTGTGTCAACTGACCAGGGCATAATTATATAGAAAGATCTGTGTCAACTGACCTGGACATAATTATAGACAAAGATCTGTGTCAACTGACCAGGGCATAATTATAGACAAAGATCTGTGTCAACTGACCAGGGCATAATTACAGAGAAAGATATGTGTCAAATGACCTGGACATAATTATAGACAAAGATCTGTGTCTAATGACCCGGGATTATAGAATAATGTCTGCCCACTGATTTTTTCTGTATCATTCCAAAAATGTATCTTTATTCAATTTTTGAACAGTTACTACAATGTCATGTTTAGTTTCTTGTAAATATGTTATTTTACTCTTTTGTCAGATGAGAATGCCGCATACTTGTTTTTCTTTATGACTGGTGTCCTTGACCCTCCAATAAACCGATTGGAACTGTTGGTGACCTTTAACCCAAACAAGAAGAGGACTCTACCGGAAGCCGTAGCGTGCGCCACCAATCTCATTTTGCCGCTTGGAAACAGTTCGTTTGAGGCGTTCGAGAAGAGTTTCGTTACAGCAATCCAGTATGCACGCGTAGGATTCGGAAATGCATCCACTTATTGATAAGTATTAACATGAAAATCTTCGACAGTATGAGTCCTGGATAACAGCAACCTACACATTTACTGGTTCTCTGTGTTATACCGGTAAACAAGATGGACATAGCTGTTAAAATGCTGAAACAATAGAAAAGATCATGTTTAATCCTGGATTTTCACACGAACATAATATATTTATGGTACTTTCTATTCTCATTATCGGTTCGGCGAGAGGATCTACATCAATGTGAAATTAATGCCATCTTTAATACATTTTTTATGTTCAAATTAACGTGTGGCTTTAGGTATGAGTGTTTGTAAGGTGCAATGTGCTTCAGATAATTATTTTTTGACAGATCATTTATTGGCATGTTTAGTAGGTTAAAGGATTTGATGGTTAGTTTTAAATTATTAAATAAGAACAAATAAAATTTATTGGCTAACAATACGACAGCCAAACATCCAATACTCTATATATTACATACCAACATTCCAGACCTTGTTTATCTTCAGAGTATTTATTTGTGTCACCGGAAAAAAAACACTTTCTAATTTAAAAATTATTTTTAATTCAAAACTGACATTTGATTTTTTTTATTATAATCAATAACAGCTAATAGCAGTATCCACTGCCATCCAGGGTCTAACGGTTATTATGGAAATATCGTTTGAAAGTTTTAAGACATTCCGCCAATGACTTTCAAAAGGTGTCAAAGTTTCAATAGGTTTTTGCCAACTTTAACAACCATTATCATAGTCATGTTACATAATAGAAATAATAGAAAAAAAATAGGACTATTAATCATTTGGTGAAAAGTGTTGATTATACTACAACTTAGTGAAATGCATTGTAAGTATGTTTTATTAATGGAACTGTGATACAATTACATTGTCAACCAAATATGGTGATACTCGTGTAATATGTATTTGTATTTTGCCTACTTCACCCTAACTTCACCCATATTTTCGATAAAGTCCTTTGTATACCTATATGATAATTTATGCAGTATAATGATATTAATGTATTAGTTGTTCTGTAAAACAATCAATTTTCCTGGTGTTCATTTTTTGTAGTTTTTGCAAACATAACTATCTCGGGGATAAATAAAACGAGGTTTATTTGAACATTTGGTAGACATGTGAATTGGAAATCAACGAAGATAATTCCACTGGAAAATAAATAACTTTACAGTACTTTATTTTTTAAATGAAGTTTCTTTGATTTATAAGAACGCTTTGGTCTTGCTACAGTGTATTTTACATGTAGGTTTTTTTCTATGTTAACCACTATCAGTAAGGTAAAACATGTTGATGTTGGTCGCCATTCCAGATTATAGGAATGAAATGTGTCACTATGAGGCAGTGATCTTTGATACCATGTTTTATCAATACTTAACATGTGACATATTGGCTTTATATTATGTAATACATTTTCAATAAAAAAAATAAAGTTATGTTTATATTGATTTAAATACTATTTCCTAATCAAATTCGCCATATTAAGAACATTTCTGGAATATTTAGTGTTGAAGACATCTTATCAATTGGCTTTGTTATTATGTAGTACCACGTACTGTATTTAGTCCCGATATTGTGACGTTCTTTTGACCCCCTTTATGTCGAATTCGAGAAGGTGTGTACTTCATCGACAAGACTTTCACATATAACTTAACGATATGACTTGAGGTCACTTCCACAGCTCCTTGATAACCCATGAAAGAAAACTGATGAAAGTTGAAGTAGGACTTTCATTTTTGTAAGTAAAGGAAATTCAGGGTGGGGCAGGGTGGGGGGAGTACTTTCATAATGGTGAAATGATCCGCGATTCACTTTACCATACTACACTTGGCTGAATAAAATCAAAAGAATGCCTGAACTAATTTGGATCAACTGTTGTCCGATTTCCTCTGTCATCAAGCACTATCAATAATCATACTAAGAAAAAGATGGCACATATGTTTTTCATACCATTTCTGTCGTTGAAATTTTCTGTATATGACATATAGAGATAGTATTTCATACACTTGGATTGATAATGTATATGAAGGTACTCTGTATTGATTGTGTTAATAGATACTTGTGTAACAAATATTATATGTATGTTCATATTTTTGTAACTGTTTTCCGTGTCTTTTGTTGTTATAAATATTGTTAAACAATCTTCATGTATATGTTTTTGTCAATAACATACCGATAGTAGGATTTTATTCTATTCCAAATCATTCATGTTTAAAATAAAGATGTTTGATCGTTATCAACTTTGAACTCGTTTACTAAAGAGTGGGCTGTCAACATTTTTCCGAAACCAGTTGAGGAGTATATGCATAATACTTGATACAATGACACACGTGTCTGCTTTGATTGATTGTCGACGATCATGCTTTAAGGCTTTTAAGACCGGGACTATTCATGTCTTGCAACTTTGAATTCCTCCGCAACAGAGATCAGTGTCTTTGATGACCTGTCAACACTAGAGAACCGTGTGTTGTCTTAGATGTTTGTTGATGGTTAAGATCCTGTACGATATGACTGACCCCCCTGGATAAAACAATTGATCCTGTACTTTACAATCTTTGTATTTACCTGAAATTCCAGTATTGTCTCTCACTGCCAGCAGACAACTCTTATATAATGAGGAACACCAACAAACATGACAAAGCGAACAACTTGATAGATTTGACAGTCAACTAGAACCGTTCATTATTGTAGACATACTGTCTCTCCTCTCTATAATACTTGGCAACATCACAGAAACGGAATGATATAGACAAATGGGCATTGTTCTCCGTAGTTCTGAATGTGACGATGCTATCTGTCAAGAAATGCAGATACAGACAGAACTGGCACGATGCAAATGTGCTTTTTTTGTGGGACAATGAACGAAGTACGACCAATAACCACGAAAACATGCACGGGAAATTTTAAAAATTCAAATGCTATTACATGACATCAGACGTGCTTCAAATTGATAACGATGAAAAGCTTTCGTTTGAAGTCCTGTGTGTCACCTACATACAAACTTCACACCTATTTATCACAGAGATTGCATAAGTTGGCAACATTTGATGCATTTTAATTTGAATTTTGTGTGGAGCGTTACGAAATTCAGGTGATTTTATACCATGCTGATATATATTACTAAGTAAAATCCCTGTCTTGTTTACATATCATGTGATATGTATTTCACTATCTGTTTGTTTGGCATGTTTGTATAGCAGAAGCGGGTTGATACTTTGGAAAGGTGCCAATATTTCAACATTTAATCGGTGTGTATATATCATTCTCTGTATTTAAAAGATAAAATATAATAGGATCCTTATTGGTTTTATACTTGTAAACAAAACCATGTCAGTAAAACCGCTTAGTAGGCATGACACACAATGTTTGGTTTCTGGTGTTTTAAGTGGACTGTATAAAAAAAAAACCGTATATCGCTGCGGCGGGGCAATCAATCTCTTAAGATAACATCACTAAACAATATTTAAAACTTCAAATGCACGTTAAGATTTACTTCACCGTGGAATAACATCTGTACATTCCATTGGATAGTTTATGTCACGTGATGACCAGAGGCCGTGTAAAGCTAAGACGTATTTGATGAACATCCGCATTCGTACCATTATTGTCATGTTTAGCAATCTCTCATTGATAAATTGAAATTAAACGATTTCTTCAGTTTCTACATCTTTAGCTACCTATGAAGTAAAATGTAACTAATTTATACGATTCCTCTACTTCCATAACTTAGAGAAACATCCTCGATAAAAAAAAAACTTTTATATAAAGCGGAGGCTAAAAACACGGAGATGTTTTTAAATCTGGTGTCCCTCGGTCTTACTCTTTAACGACAGTGTTAATTTCACAAACGATAACCGGGCTTTATAGACGACACGTGACACAATCACACCATTATGATGACATATACTTCGTGCTCGATTTCAGTGCTTGATAAAATTTAAAAAGCGAAACGTATGGAAATAAATTGTAGATAAGACAAAGGGGACATCGGTATGATATCATTGGTATAGCTTCAGATGAAATGATTTTCATATGATGAACATAACGAAAGGTCTACACTTTTATATTATGTAACAAATAACGTCAGTATTGACAGTAGTTACTAATGTGATCCAAATGACTACCTTTCTGCTCCATATATATATCTTACTTTTCCATGCCGGCTTGAAATCTTCCCGACCAAACAATGTTAGTAAGTTTTCAATGCTCATGCATCCACGTAGGAAACGCATAAGAATAATCTGTCTGGTGTGATATTTATTTCATGTTAAAATTCTCTTAACAAACAAATTTCCGTAAAATCTCCCAAAACACATCTCTAACAACATCTTTCTCTCATTAAGAAGCATTCTATTTCTTTTTGCGATAATATGAAGCTGGACATGAGAACGTGACACTTACTTGGAATGACCAAGGTTTACATGGCGGGTGTCGTCGACAAAGCACATGAAGCTCACTCTTTCGGAACACCTGGTTTTCTTCTCATTTTACTTTTTTCAGGAGCATCGGTGTTATCTTTCTTTTGTTCATGTTTCGCCCTAGTTGTATTGAATTTGAGTTGGGATTGTGAGTATGTGGACATGCTGGTATTTTCTTTTTGTTTTTTTACTGCAACATATGAAAGTTCAAAGCTCATACCTTAATTACAAAATGTACATAACATGACAACCAGAAGCAATTGTGTGTCTTTTGATATCCGCTTTGTTTTCACTTTATGTTAAAGACTAGTGAGGAATGTACAAAATAATTACCATAGGTTTTGTTTTTCTTTAACAGAATAACCCTTTAGCTGATTACTCCCCTAACATAATACTTCCCTAACAGAAGACTCCTCTAACAGAAGACTTCTCGAACAAAATACTCCCCAACCAGAAGACTATTTTGACAGAATACTCCCCTAACAGAAGACTTCTCGAACAAAATACTCCCCAACCAGAAGACTATTTTGACAGAATACTCCCCTAACAGAAGACTTCTCGAACAAAATACTCCCCAACTAGAAGACTATTTTGACAGAATACTCCCCTAACAGAATACTCCCCTAACAGAAGACTTCTCGAACAAAATACTCCCCAACTAGAAGACTATTTTGACAGAATACTCCCCTAACAGAATACCCCACTAACAGAAGACTACTTTGACAGAATACTCCCCTAACAGAATACCCCACTAACAGAAGACTACTGTGACAGAATACTCCCCTAACAGAATACCCCCCTAACAGAAGACTATTTTGACAGAATACTCCCCTAACAGAATACTCCCCTAACAGAAGAGTATTTTGACAGAATACTCCCCTAACAGTAGACTATTTTGACAGAATACTCCCCTAACAGAATACCCTCCTAACAGAAGACTGTTTTGACAGAATACTCCCCTAACAGAATACCCCACTAACAGAAGACTACTTTGACTCCCCTAACAGAATACTCAGAAGACCTGTGACAGAATACTCCCCTACAGAATACCCCACTAACAGAAGACTACTTTGACAGAATACTCCCCTAACAGAATACCCCAATAACAGAAGACACCTTTGGCAGAATACTCCCCTAACAGAATACTCCCCTAACAGAATACCCCACTAACAGAAGACTACTTTGACAGAATACTCCCCTAACAGAATACCCCACTAACAGAAGACTACTTTGACAGAATACTCCCCTAAGAGAATACCCCACTAACAGAAGACTACTTTGACAGAATACTCCCCTAACAGAATACCCCACTAACAGAAGACTACTGTGACAGAATACTCCCCTAACAGAATACCCCACTAACAGAAGACTACTTTGACAGAATACTCCCCTAACAGAATACCCCACTAACAGAAGACTACTTTGACAGAATACTCCCCTCAGAGAATTCTGTTTCGTTCACGATGCATCGAATATTGTCAATGTTTCCATAACTCCTTTCATTTTTATTCCGATGAATAATCCCCATTTCTCTTTTATCATGACACAGGGAAAGTTCTTCGATGACTCTCAAAATCCAACATTTGTATAGTACTATGACTCCTGGATCTTTTTTCACGTTCTTCTGTCTTTTTTATTGACTTGCGTCCGGAAGAAATAAGGCCTGTTGTTTAACAAAGGATTTTCACATTTCACATATCTCACAATACCAATACACTCACTGAAGGTGCATTTCCTTCACACAAGTCTGCTTTAATTTGCTTATGTGCCTCATGTCAAGCGGTTATAATCTCGCAGGGTTCATTCTTGCTCTCAACCGTGTCTGCTCTCTCTTTTCTTTCTTTCTTTGATTTTTGTTTGGTTTATCGCCCTGTCAGGGTGATTTTGATGCAAGGTCTCATCGTAATAACTGTTGGTTACTTCAGTGAACAAAAAGTGGGAGACACATTGTTTATCAATTATAGACATTGGGGTATATTGACAGTTAAAACAAATCATAGTAAACGGACTACAGATGTGCAGGAAATGAGGTGGAGTAGGGAACCTCTCTATATTTTGTTGGTAATATTTTTGTCATTCAGCGAAATATAGAAGATCACCAGAATAAGCCGTAAGTGAGGGACCACCTAACCGCAGTCACGAAAACACTATAAAATTTGATAGATACTTAAAATGATCCGATTTACAATGTACAATCTCGTCATCATAAAGATGTCATTTATATTCGTAAAGTGAACACACACGGTGCTCTCATACCGTAGCGTTCTCTCCTGTAAGCTCTCAAATTGTAGTGTCCCCGCCTATATTCTCTCAAATTGTAGTGTTCCCGCCTGTAAGCTTTCCTACCGAAATGTTCCCGCTTGTAAGCTCTCAAATTGTAGTGTTCCCGTCTGTAAGCTCTCCTACCGAAATGTTCCCGCATGTAAGCTCTCAATTTGTAGTGTTCCCGTCTGTAAGCTTTCCTACCGAAATGTTCTCGCCTGTAAGCTCTCATACCGTAGTGTTCCCGACTGTAAGCTCTCCTACCGAAGTGTTCCCGACCGTAAGCTGTCACACCATAGTGGTCCCGACTGTACGCTCTCCTACCGAAATGTTCCCGCCTGTAAGCTCTCATACTATAGTGTTCCCGACCGTAAGCTGTCATACCGTAGTGTTTCCGCCTGTAAGCTCTCATGCCATAGTGTTCCCGCCTGTAGGCTCTCATACCATAGTGTTTCCGCCTGTAGGTTCTCTAACCATAGTGTTACCGCATGTAGAATCTCATGCCGTATTATTCCCGCTTGTAGGCTCTTATCGTAGAGTTTCTGCCTGTAGTTGTTTTTTACGTAATGGTCCCGCTTGTAGGCTCTCATACCGAAGTGTCACCGCCTGTAGTCTCTCTTATCGTAGCGTTTCCGCCTGTAGTTATTTTTTACGTAATGGTCCCGCTTGTAGGCAATCATACCGTAGTGTCACCGCCTGTAGTTTCTCTTACCATAATGTTCTCGTCTGTAAGCTGAGAAAGCCGAACTTATCGCAATATCAATTTTTAAAGCTGAAAGTATTATTTGGTGTCGAACACAACGGCATTCAAAATTTGTGGTTTATTGTAAAAGGTCCATACGAAATATATCCACTGCCCATTGTAGTATTATACAACGGAAATATAACCCAAACTCTAAACAATACATGTTGATCCGGGAGTATAATAATCAACACAAAACCATCTTGGTTCATGGATGATCGTGAGAAATAGATATAGGAACAGATGTCGTATTTACCAGATAATGAATTAAACTGTGTCATACAGTGGTTTCCCCTGGAAAGTACATTTCGTTATGGAACTAGTGCTCATTCTCATCTAGATTTTGACATTTCTTTTGATCGATTTTGATGTTCAACTGTCTCCTGCCTTTGGTTTCGAACTTTGGGCTCCTAGTATTGCTAACGAGTCCTAGAAGGACGAAATCACTTTACGGTGCAGTTTGATTTATTTGATATCTACTGTATTGAACTGTGTCTTTTTAATTCTTCCAGGACCTATGACAGGTCAGTGATGTTATCAGCCTGATCCATGAAAATCTAGAAGACGTGGCTAGAAATGATGGCATGTTTATCTCTCCAACGAAAAAAACAACAATGACTTCAGGGTTAAACTATTTTGATTTATTTACTTTATTTTACATGAATGTTATGAGAGAAACACATTTTTTTTAAAACGTAGGTAAGGAAAAATAATAGAAACATGCCAGCTGTAAACGTGACGGTGAATATTTACGACCAACAGAATATTTATTGTAGTGTAATTGATACTTAAAATATAGGCTATCAACACAAGTACTGAGTACCACTACGACTAGTTACTGCGTCTTTGGGAACACCAGTTAGAAGAATGCACGTAACTGGCCCATTGTTACCTGTGATCTGCCCGTGATTAAATACCTGGTGTTATGTCTATATAATTGTCCTCTCCTGCATGCAATACCCCAACCACCACTACCATTTATTGCAAATAAATGTTCAGTTATATTTTTACATAACATGCTTTGTGCCACACGAACAGGTTTTGATCATCTACGTCAATATGATATAGGACCTGACACTGTATGTTATTATGAAATTTTTATATGTTCATTTTAAGACACCAAAGCATGTGTAAGTTTAAACGGGCTACAGTAATTACTGTTTACCTATTCCGTGTAATTCCAGGGAACCAACGTGTTTGTTCAAGTTGTCTAATTGCAATATCTTGTGTAGTTATAGAACACGCTGTCTAGCCCAAATCAACCAAACGAGGGTCACACAGGATGAAAGGAAACCACTGCACCAGCGCATGGAGACACACACCATTTGATTAGTTTCTGCTTAGTCAACATGGGTTGGCTTCCTCGATCAGACGTCCATTTCCAATAATATAAAATGTCATAACAATAGGACTGGGAGCCACGTGGTAGTGTACATGTTATAACACTACAATTATGATATATTACACTGTAAATAATCAGATATTGTTTCGTCAAAACGTTCAGAGGAAATGACCTACATAACTAAACATAGATACATGTAGTTATAATGTAATCTTGTTTACATCACAGCCGAGTCCGTTTTATCAATCCCTTAGATATTGTTGCAAAATGAAAATATGTGAACAAATATAATTGCCCACTGAATGCGAGTCCTGCTATATGTAGAAGAGTCAAGTTAAACCCACAACTCCAAACCCGGCAGAAAACAGCATTAAAGAAGATATAACAGATGTCAAATAGCGAAAAAGCTGCACCATAATTAGACAGAAATGTTAAAGGCAACCTCTAGGGGATAAAAAAGACACGAGCATGGGTCTTATTAGGACATAACATAAACACATTTAATAAACAAGTTTTGATATGAAAGAACTAAATTTAAAATCTCAAAAGCACATATCAATAATAACATCTTTTTACAATTTACATTGTTTATAAAGCAAGAAAAATAAAAACAGTTTTGATAAAGATATTTGTGTAATCATCATACTTGGTTATTCGACCTAGTGTTATCACCATAAAGTCGTACAGAACGTCTAAATATTCCAAGAATATATCTCTTTCCTAGTATATAGATAAGAAAATCCCGAGTGCTCTGGCAAGACATTGATAATGAATACAACCATTAATGAGACAACAAAACATAGCAACCTTGATGTGTCACACCAAGACAAATTGTACTGTCACATAGCTGACATATATTAAGTCGTGTAACATCACATATCCTTTTGTATGTGTATGTCATTTAACGCATCAATTTTGTCTCTTTCGTGTAACATTAATTTTGGCACTGTAAATATAAAGAAACAAAGATTATTCTGAGAAGCCAAGTTTGCCCAGAGTAAGCGCCTTATTGAAGGAAGCATACAGTTCCATCTTGCTTTTGTTTCCAAGGGGCAAGTGTAGGAACTGCAGACAGGTGGTAGCCTCAGGTAGTTCTGCCTGGGGGTTGGAGCGATTGAACCCTACATTTAAGGAGAAGTCGTGCACGGGCAGGTCATCCAAACCAGTGATAAACTGAAACAGCTTGGCAGCTTCCTCATCTAGGAAAAGAATGAAGAAATACCATTACATATAGTCATCTACGACGATTGGAAATGCCAATCATTGACGACATCACGGCACTAGCAATAAAAAACAATACTTAGTAAGCAACGTCTTTGTTTTGAAATATATAACATTACAACTTATCATATTACATATTTGTGTAACGAGAGCAGCTGTTAAGTTATGAAAACACGTGTTTTAAGCTATCCGATGCTTGTTCACATACCGTTTAAATCCCGCAACAGTTCTTCTGTGTACGTTTTGGCATTTTCCTCCCAAACGTTCCTTGTTCTAAGACCAACCACTTTTGGTAATAATTTATCTTTGATATACAGGGCTGTCGTTTCTCGTTTGTCTCTCGTTAGAAAGAATCTCGTGAAGTCATCGTATTGTTTTGTCCTGTTCAGAAAAGAAAGAGTTTCAAGTCCACGTTTGATTTCATCTAATGATCCTTTTCGCATGTCAATCAGATACCACTGCAGAAGGGTTTGAATATACATCAATCTGTTGGAAAACTGTAGAGATAAAAAGACATAGCCTTAATTACATCTTCATCAGTCTGTGATAAAATCTCTTATCTCGAAAACAATTCAGAATTCCAGATATTATGAATCCTCTTTTCCTAGCATAAATAGTATCCGTTGTTGTTATTGATTACTTCGATTTAACGATGAATAAATATTGATTATTGATAATTGTCTAGTGAACCGACTTCAAACCGGAGGAGATTACTGGGGAGTGATATGGTCGTTATAATGATAGCATTAAGGAAACTATCTCCTTATTACGATATGGAGTTGGACGTATTTAATATTCGTCCTTGTATCTGTTTCTTGTTGTTTACCTTGCTGTCAATTAAGGTCGTGATATTACTTACGTGGATAAGCCGACATTTACATTTCGATTGTCGATAAAGTAGATTTGACTTGCTCTTTCTTAATACCCTGTCTTGTGAATCTCTCTAGTTCACACAACAAAGCTAATGCTTCATAGCCGATAAAAATTACCCAGAAGGGAGACACTTGGCGTCTGCACCACACTAACGATTTACTTAATATTCACCGTAATTCTGTCGCCTGCTGACCAGCCACAATAGTCTGTAAACTTCTCAGTGTCCTCTCCAATGATCTTGTCAATTTCTTCCTGAGACCCTGCTGAGTTTACCTATGTAAAGCAGAATAAACCATCAAAAGTGGTTTCCTCCATATCAACATATCGAACATTCAATTTATTCATTAAAGACAGTGTTAATCTATTGTGGGAAAGACACACACGAGAAGAATCTTAATGTAATATAAGCTGTATTACGAAATCAAAAATTATTTTAAAAAAATGGTGTTTGTATCAATGCATCGATGATGTGACGTGCCGCATACCAAGTACCTGCCTAATATAATCTTTTTTCCTGTATGCTTAAAGATTGATTTGTATCTAATTTGAGGGCTGGATATTATGTATCAATCGAGACGTACGTTATTGAGTCAAAATTGGTAAAATACTTTTCAGCGCTTGTCGTTTCCTAATTTAGAATTCAACTTGATAATCTCTATTTCTGCTTTACGCCAGGAAAACTATCAACTATGGCGCTACTTTGTTCCAAATATCGCTTAAAGGTATCAGACAAATCGGACTAGACAGAAAAATCTAGCACTGCGTTGAGAGTGAGAATCCCCTCCCAAGTACGATGATTCGTTAGAGGAGTCATTCTTTGTCCAGCGATCTTCGTCTATCTTTATACTACTACATCTAGATTGTAACAACATGAAACATATAAGAAAATGAAATGATAACTGATATCTTGAAAAAACATATGGGAATAATCATATTAACAAAAAAGGAAAGCCCTACCTTTTCTATGTGTGCCTGGAGGTAGGAATTTACAACATATACAGTGCTTAGCTCATGGATAAATTCCTGGTCTCTTATGTAACTGACGATAAAGGGTGGGAAATAAGGAAAACCTGGTCCGTCACATAATAGGGAAAGCACAATGGCTTTGCCAAAGTAGTAAAACCAATCAGATCTAGTTTTGTTGTGGGTTGGTAACAAGAAACCACCTTTCCCTGAAACACAAAATAAACAGTGCACATTTGAATTTTATAAATATGTAAAACAATATTAAATAACGCAATGTTTAATAACTGGTTTCAATTGGTATGTTCATTATTCAAGCAATATCTTGGATTAGTAAAATTCTCATTCGTGCAAAATTTCGGAAGATCAAACGATGGCGAGTATAATCATTGGATATGAATTCAACTTACTTGGAGTGCTTGATATGGATATTGAATGGAATAGACCCAATTAGCATCAAACTGTCGTAAAGATCTGTCATTTAAAACGATCATACATACCATGCCATGATTATTCCAATGTTATATTTTTATGTAGATCATTACTAGATTTAAACCCAATATGATGTAGTCACTGACCACCCTCTCCGGGACATTTTGACGGTATACCATCGCCGTTTCTATATAGATCATTACTAGATTTAAACCCAATATGATGTAGTCACTGACCACCCTCTCCGGGACATTTTGACGGTATACCATCGCCGTTTCTATGCCAACATTAATGACATTCATCATGACCATGTGTTGGATGTCATTCATAGTACTATACTATGAATAGTATAACGGACGTCATTCTATTTATCTGTCACCCAGATTGCATTCATATTGGCAATAAATGCAATCTGACAGACGTTCAATGGTTAAATAAATTATACGTCTGCCCAATTGATATACCGATATTGTTCACTAAAGAGAATCTTTCTTCAAAAGAGCCTACTTTTTGGCAACTTTGATGTTTATCCATAATGTAACACCCTTCCTTTGCAGTTTTTTGTTAAAATAATTCAACGATATCTGGGTGATTCAATAGCTGAAGATGTTTTACATAATTGTTCAATATGACGTCATCATTATAAATGTAGGTAGAGTCATATGATTAAATGAAAACTGAAAACAACACGTTACATTATACGTTATATAAATAATCATTTCTTTGTGTTTATCAAGTTCGAATAAGAAAATATGTAGGTAGTCAACGGTAAATAGTGTAATTTCGAAATGATACAAACCTTCAAACATACACAATCTCTCACTGTGGAATTCATTCAGGAAGAGTGTAAAGAATTCCCGGTTTGGACCGCCAAGGTTGACATTCCTTTCTTCCTTATTGTTTGTCCGGAATGTTACCTCGATTGGTGATAATTCTGATCCCTCCTGTTTCATCTGTGCTATTCCAGCGATGAGTAAATTTTCACGATCAACATTAATAGCGACCACTTTTCTAGTTTGTTGTTGTTTTATGAGGAACATGACTTCATCAAACTGTCCACGGCGAACTGTATAAGTAATCAGATTAAACGCAGTTGAAAGTGCAAATCCAAATTAGAAATATTCTGATCTGGAATTTATCGATTTTGCATTAAAATTTTAAGATTATTCACTACTTACAATACAATGTCATTTTTTCTAGCAGAAGTGAACAATTAGACTTATTGACTTCGTTATCATTGTTCTAGACATACGGTTTTCATTTGTGTGTGTGCCCTTTGTACAATCTTTAATTCTGTTTTTTATATATGAAAATGTTTACAATACGACATAACAACAAAAACCAAAGGTAGGAACAAGTAGATATCATTTTCTACGACAATGACAAAACGTATATCAGATACAAGACATAACAAAAGGACTACTATTACAAATATGTTTCCTAGTCTGTGACATACCCTTGTGTCTCTTTTTGATGTTTGCTTTAACGCCATCATCATAAGACACACACAGAAAACACGTCTTGGTATCTACATATATTCCTTAACGACTGGACGTATCTTGGTAATCTTACCTCGTGTTTTGTCCTGTTCCTGTTTTACTGCCGTCTTCAGTTCCATGACGGATGCTTCGTTCCCCATAGTGCCCCCAAATATGTTGGCCTTGTGTTGGTATTGGTGCTCTGGGTAAGTATGAAATTTATAGAGGATATCTTATGTTTCCCTTTAATATGGTACATATTTCACGAGTACTACAGAATACATATATTCTGCCATGCTCTTGATATCTAACGGAAGTCAAATTGATTTTCTTTATAGTATATTTTAAAAGTGAAAGCAAATTTAAAAAAAGAAAGAATTGCATATACTAAGCAGTTCAAAAAAGTTTGGGAAATATTAGAGCGTTCTTTGACGCCAGATAGTTTGATATTAACGCTTGACAACAACACGACGCCATTTTGAATAGGCCTCTTTACGCTGAATTTTAGATTGATATGCTGTGTCAGACAATAATCGCTTGCACACCTGTTTTCATAAACCAAATTACAAAATATACACGGGACTTATTGATGGAAATCCTCTTATTTACTCCCGTCCCTTGCGCCCGAACATCGTCGATTTTAATGCACCACTCTGGTTGGTTAAATCTACTAAAGTTATATCAGCGCTGGTGAAATTAGATAAGATTTTTTAAATTCCTATATCTAACCGAGAAAAAAATTGTACTAAAACATCAAAACCTTATAATGGCTGTTGATATCATCTAAAACAAATGCAATGTATATGGAGTAGACAATTCTATATGTAGAATTACATTGTCTCGATTAGAAGCATTTATCTCATCAAACTGCCTTCCATAATCCAACAAATTAAATCTGACTGCATCCTCCAAGATATTGTTTGTAATGTTATCTTGGCGCCAGTAACTATGGAAATGAAGGAAAATCAAGGTTCTCTTTATAGCTGCCTTTTTTGATTACATGCTTAATACATGTACGTGTTTAATATGTGTCAACTTGATATATAATTCCAAGATCAGATTATAGTACTGGCATTACATGAAAAAGCCGCCAGTAAGAACCGGAGACAATCAAGTTCTGTATTGACATGAAAAGCCACTAGTAAGAAACGGAGGCAACCCCGTTCTGTATTAACATGAAAAGCCACGAGTAAGATAATTATGCAAATCTGTTCTGTATTAACATAAAAAACCGATAGTAAGAAACGGAGAGAAACTCGTTTTGTATTGACATATAAAGCCACGAGTAAGACAAGGAGACAACCATCCTGTATTGACAAGAAAATCCACGAGAAGAAACGGAGAGAAACCCATTCTGCATAATATTTACGTTGTAAAATGACACCGTGATAAGAAAACCTGCTTTTGATATAGATTTAAGTCATACAAATGATATAACTAAACACTGCAACGAATTGAAGCATACCACACAAAAGCTAATGTTAAACAAATGACAATGTTTTAGTTTATTATTGAAAGAAGCCAATGTAGCATTTTCTCTTACCTGACCTGTATTATATGATATCCTGTGGATGTTTGTCACAGGCTACATCCGACAAATATTTTACCTGTAAAACACCATCACAATTATTCTTGTAAGTATTGAAAAGGTTATTGATTAACAATATTTCACCTGTGCAGGTAAGTCCTCTCCAGGGGGTTTTAAACTCGTAAACTGAGCAAATGTTCTGTTGTGCTGCTTATGGATTACAACAAAGCATAAACTGTTTATGGGAGGTAACCTTAACCTAACGAAATAATTGAATTCTCAGTAATTTCACTTCCTTGTTGGTTAAGTGATTGTGGAAGAGAAACTTATATGTATTTATTGTCCCTAGGAGTGTTGATTCGTCATATACGTCCATGCGATCGTGTACTATTTATAACTATTTTTTGTTTAGACAGAACACATACTTTTAATACAGAATCAAATCCGTATTTAAATGTTGTACAAAATTTAAAGACAAATCCATATTGTCAAAGGGTGATTTATAGTCTCAATATTCCATTGAAACTGAAAACAATAAGCATTTCAATAAAGTATCTCTAAAATATGCAAACTTATAAAAAATAATTGAATTAATATATAATCAAAACTCTTTAAAATCCCTGACAGTTATTCTTCAGATCGAACGATACCTTCAAACAAGATGTACAGATTACTGTTGAAGTATCATGGCATTTTTATCCCCCAAGAGCCCTCACAAAACCCGGTAAATATGAACATATCAAAAGACATGACACATACGCCCAGTACAATGGTGCCTCTATCTTTTTTGTGATCTTTTAAACAAAATCTCTTTAAAACAAATGCGCAAATCTAACAATTGCATTGTTAATTTGTTATCTACTACCAATGCAGTGTCCCGGGTTGTTGTCAGTGGTAATATGTGTTGTTGACCTGCTATCGTCATACAGTCGTCGACAACTGACTGACAAAAGCAAACGCAAAAACTCAAATCAAAAGATACATGTTAACTATTATTATGGGGAAGTTTTACTGTCGCCTTAGTGATTTCATTGTTCTCAGTTGAGAACGTGACATTAACTTCTTGGATTGACCAAGGTTTACATGGCGGATGTCGTCGATGAAACAGAAGACGACTGCTCTTCTGGAACACCTGGTCTTATCATCCTTGTACTTTTTTGCGGGAGTCTGTGTTGTAAATCTTCTTTTGTTCATATCTAGTTTTAGTTTGGTTTATGATTATGTTGGCATTTTTTTATATTCTTCACACCCAGAAAGGTGTTAACATCATCAAGTTATTCAGAAGATATCGATGGACGCCAAATCGCGTAATTAAGGAACTCTTAATTCTTCATGTTTTTGTTTTATAATTATATTTTTAGATAGAACCTCTCAAGGAACGTAAACACACACAAATGAGGAAATGACACTGAGAAAATATATAACTGTCATCGTACAGTGTACATAAAATTGAAGTATCCTATGACAGTAGAATTTCATTTTTTGTCTCCAGTAGATGAGCCAACGAAACTGTGACCTCCAAGGGACGACCATTCAAGGAAACGCTGAATGTCGAAGCAAGTTCGATGTTTTAAGTACAAATTACCGAGACAGGATAATGGTGCACGACTTTCACTCCAGGATATTACTGCATCCCAAAAATCTGTGCTTATGCCAATCTAAAAGCAACGATGTGATATCATGGGAATCAAGCCCACAAAATTGTAATATGGGTTATATTGACTTTGTTATGGTAGTCAAGAAACCTTCGCCCCTGAAAGAAGTCCTTTTGACTTACCACTTTTGGGCTTACCACTTTTACTACAACTTAAGTTCCTTAACGTTGACATTAGAGTTGCTGTTTTAAGTACAGAGCTAAAAATAACTAAAATGTTTTAGTCAGAGAAATCAATTTCATGACACCATGACCATGGTTACATGTTAGCCTGTTACATTGCCGTCTTTCTGCTGTCTAACTATTATGATGTATAAAGAAACAAAATTTATTTCGAACTGGATCTTGGGTTTGGATTTTATTTGTTGAATTTTTAGTCTCGTTAGTTCCCAGAAAGTTTGTGATGTATTCTCTTCAGATTTCACTGTTAGGTGTCCCTTCCTTTAATGTGATTAGAAAAAGAAAATGAAAAGAAATGATAAGTAAAGAAAAGGTTAGTTTTGTATTAATAAATTGAATTTATTATATACACTGAGAAGGGAACAATTTTATATGAATGCTTCTTCTGTGCCTCCGAGAATAAGGGACAGGGCCATAAACAGGAAACGATAGAAAATTATTAAAATAATCATCTTGTTTTGAAAGAATAAATATGCTCGTAAGTTCCTCGCTATTCAAAGAGTGACATCTTCGGTTAGCAAGTATATAACATTTGTCGCAAATGTCACATGTTACGGTATAGATACAACATAACCGATGAAGTATTGAGTTGGATGATCGATAATTCTTAGTGTGTTATGATAACTGTGACAGTTCACATTAAGGTTAAGTGATTTAATAAACACATCTTTTCTGCCTTCGCCGCCCAATCAACTTATCAGCGTTTTGCCACGATCACTTCTTCTCTCAAATCTACACGCACCTGACCCTCGGTGTGTACTTATGAGGCAACAGACTCTAACACATTGCTATGAGCATCGATGACTTAACATGGACGAATAAAAAAATTAAACAAACATCGTTATCTCAATATCATCTTAACTAGCACTGGGTTTATTTGCAATATCAAATACAAAATATGGCCAAAAATCTTTCCTTAAAAATGAAAAGTATATCTATGAAATAAGTATGTAGATGGATTAAACAAGCATTAGGCATATTTATCTTACCTTCTAAAGAAGTTATTTGTTATTTGTCACCCTTAAATCGTAATTTTGAATATTCTGAAGTAAGCAAGGAGTGCTGAGGTTTTGACAAAACTTCTGACGTAAGGATATTAAAATCTGATCTGAACTCTTTAAAGGTAGAGAATTGCAATACTTATCCATCTTAATAATTTATTCCAGTACACTAATTTTTATATGGTCATGTTTATGAGAAAAGGAATGTTGACATCTAGAGAGTGACTGAAGAAGCGACAAATGCACGTAAAAAAAAAACTAAAACAGCCCATAAAAGTGACAAGTCCTGTAGATAGCTAGATACTTGAGTATCGGTCGTGTTGTTTGTACGTGTAACAGAGCGTCCGAAGTCACGCGTGTCGTGTAGGATTCGGGTCATCTGAGAGAGGAACACGTTATATGGTAGAGTAAATGTCAGTTCTGAGGTCGTTATATAAGTCTTTGTCGTACCACCTTTCATTCTAAATTACAAATATTAATGTCTGCAATAATATAAAGAACACAGACAGATGATATGTGGTCAACTCAAATGGATTCACTTTAGAACATGTTAATAATACGAATGTTTTAAATACCGATAAAAGTAGTAGCGTTATATGATCAGCGATAGGAAATCCGATACATAAAGATAATCTCCGTTTCCACTTCTTCATTTTCCTTTTAAATTGTGTCAAATTCAAGATAAGGATTCAAACGTCTGCGGGTCATTTTTTCAACCAGGAAGTTGTTAAAAATGGCTTTATGAGAACTATTACACGATCCAGTACAGCGATATTTTAGTGAGTTTCAATAAGAAAATTTAGCCCCTACCCTGGAAAATATATTTTCAAGCCATTTGTTATGTTCATTTTAGCTTGCTACTGGTTTTCTTAAGTTCCAGGCTTCAAGTTTTTTAGTTATTGTTGCTGTTGTTTATGTTTATGTCTACACGCTGTCAATTTACAATAAAACCAAACCAGTGTTTTTCAGAATAAGATCATCTCCATAAAAACCTTCAGGTTTGACAAAAGAGAAATTTTGATGTCAGGGAAATCTTCTTCATATAATGTTTAATGGCATCATCTAATGATAACTTTAACATACGTGATTACTGGATTTCCTTCTCCTTTAATGAACGGAGCACTCAATCTATACATATACAAGCGCTTGTTATGAGCATTTGCATTTTTACGCGTATCTTATGACGGGGAGGGGAATTTAGTGTTTTACACACGTCAATCCGTTTCAAATCATTATCACATGATATGAACCTCTCAATAGATTTGATTCGTCTCCCGTCTGTAATATCACCACGTTCTACATATTCTTATTAAATATTGAATTGTTGGGGCGGTGAAAGAAATTATAGCACTGTTTAAATCAGACACATAAACAATAGGTGTGTATATATATATTTTTTTATTAAGTTACAAAACAGTATATACCCTAACCGTCATGTGAAGCATTACGTATTGTACAACACTGATCTCTTCGTGGCATTTCAAGCTTACATTGATAGATATCCGATGACGATTATAACTCAAGGCCAACAGACCACTGATGAATCATCGGCCCAAGAAAAGGTTTAATTTTGTATATTCAAGTCACAGGTATGATGAACACTACGGTTTCGTCCATTACACATTACGGTGTCGTCGCCTAAAGCATATGTTGCTTTGATAAAATATGTTGGAAAGACGTTGTTTATTGAGACAAGAACATGAATTATGTCACTGATAACTATACGGATTTAAAAAAGTTTTAAGTAATCTGTTTCATCACACCAGGGTGAAATATTTAAAAACAATAATCAAATTCTCCCGAACTCTGTCCGATTATTGAGTGCTGTTTTGAATGATCGTATAAACTCCTTGTCCGATTCGTTACCGAGTGGTAACAACAACAGCCATGCACATGTTATTGCACGTGGAAGTTTGTCTGACGTATTTTGAACATTGAAGTCCACCATGATGTCACACTCTCCTGGTGGAAGAGATCGCATGCCCGTAATGAACTCGTACAGATTGAGAGCTTCCTCGTCTGTAAAAATGGGGAAAGATACTGACCAGTTATACAACCAAGTCATAATAGTAAAGTCTTATCTTAATTGACAAAGATAATGTCCCTATCCACAGATTACAGCTATGATTTGATCAAAACGAAAGACATGTGTGTTTTTTACATAAACATGATATAAAATTATCAATAGACAATTAAGATGGCAAGGTATGACCAGAAATTGACTTTTACAAGTAATGTGTAAACAAATTATATACTGAAAGGTTACTATATATTTTGTCGCAAAGCAATCTACATCGAGTAGTTCATGTATTTATACACAAAATATACATATTTCGATGACAAAATGCTACGAGAAACTTGAAAGAGATATAGACATATTGTATGCAAATACACTTCATACTTAACAAAATCCAATATATAAATACACTTAATATTTCACAAAATCCAAATCACATTCTTCAGTTTCTTGATGGATAACAAACACGGTCGTATGATAAGGGGATATCAGCCAGGTAAATGATGTTCGCTCGCTTTGAGTTAAAATATAAAATGTCACTTTCTACTCCATTGATATCTTCGATCAAGTGTTTATGCATATCATCTGATTCAACGCTTTGAAAATGGATTATTACACGCACGCATGCAATTTTATCACATGTTTCAAGTCGCGAGGTCTTCACACATTATTCCTTACTCTTTACACACTAGTCGCATTGGGAACGTGACATTTCTTACTTGGACCGACCAAGATTTGTATAGCAGGTGTCATTGATAAAGGACAGGACACTTATTGTACCGAAACATCCGTTTTTTATCCTCGTATGTTTTCAGGAAATTCCGTGCAAATCTTTATTTCATTCATATTTTGCCATAGTTCCAATTATATCGACATAGAACGAGTATTCATATCAGAGGCGTAGCTAGCCCAGCAGAAATGTGTAAGCCCAGGCGAGGGGTCTGGGGGCCGCCTAGGCCCCCAGCGAGTACAGGGCAGGGCCCTGGTGGGGTGATCAGGGGGCGAAACCCCCCGACGGAAAATGAATTTCATGATTTTAAAGATGTTTTGAATCGTTTTCTGAGACAGATTTTTTTTATTATTTATTTAACAACAAACTTCAACCCCTGACTAAATAAAAGACTATCTTTTTTAAAAAATTTTGTCGATCGACGTCTGTAATCAGAAACGTTGAAATGATAGTAAGAAGTAGAATAGTACGACGTGTATAAAGTTCCGGAAAGCAATGCATTAGGCCTAGTTATTCAACAATTTTCTATTCATATTTTTTATTTATCAAAAATATTAGATATTTATTTTCAACCTAAGTTTTGTAATTTTGTCCGACATACTCTATGCACGGATTTGTTATGTGTAAGCCTGGACTTTTTCTTTCTATGGAAGCTACGCCTCTGCATATGATAAACATTATTTTAAAAAACACGATAGACAAACAAAAATCGCCCTAAATACTTCCTTATTCAAATCACCCTGGTAAAAATTGAATATTTACAGGTACTGTGTAATGTCTTGTTTTATATCAGTCCTGTTATAGAACCTGGGTAATTGATTGGACCAATAAAACAATTACCCTGTTGTAAACGTAATAGGTATCAGCACGAATGCTTACAACGTATCAACCTGTCAAATATAACGTTACCCTCTACCTTGTGAATTACATGTTATAGGTATGGTAGTCGTGTTATCATATATCTGAAACGACAGTTGATTTGCAGGTAATACACATCAAACGTACCTAACGGTTTAACCAGAAATTTACATCACTGACATCGAGGATATTAATAGTGTCTACAGTAATAACAAGTATTTTTCTCAAGTGTTTTACTTATTTTAGTATTTTAATAGTGCGCAAGGCGAATGAGAGATAAAAAAAATAGACACACGTGAAATTTATATTTATTACTGAAGACATTATTAAACTATTAAATATCCTCTTTATCAGTGTGGTAAAAATGAGTTACATACCCGTTGTTTTAGAATTATGTTTAGATATCGAAAATAAAAAAGAATGAAGGAGTGGAGAGGAAGAAAGTGTTTGACCTGTAACCGCATTTTCACCAGGCTTCCTCTATCTTATTCCAATGATATGTCGTCATCATAAGTCAGCCATCTTTCTATTTTGTTATACCTGGGCATTTTACCAAATGAGTCAAACATGTTATTAAGACATTTACACCTTCCTTGGGTAGGTCGCAATGTCCACACAAGCCAATAACTAGGCTATAACACTATAATGTAACTCACCTGTCAGGATGGTCAGACAAGAGGCGGCCCAGCCCTTGACATTGATTTGAGCTTCGGATTTAGCCTTCAGTTCTACTAACGAGTCAAGCAAATGCATTCGCATGAACACACTGTCCACGAGATAGGCATCCATTGGAACTAAGAAACGTTTAAGGTCACTGTCAAATTTTCTGACCTTGTCAAGAAATCTCAGACTTTGTAGACCTTCTACAAGCTGTGCGAGAGCCTCTTTACCTTGGTGTAGTCTGATAAAGTTCTTTAAGAGAACCTGTGTTTCTGATTGTTTCTGAAACACGAAGATATAATGAATTAAAAATGTGTCATAGAATACCCTAAAAACTCGAATAAAACCGACCCCAAAAATTTGCCGATTTCGAAAATAAGCACGATGCTTCTTAAAAAGTTAAACATTCATTTACTTACTATTAAAGAAAACAAGAGGTCCAAAAGGCCTGCATCGCCCAACTTGCTAATTTAGCTATTCAGCCATTTAATACAGAATTTGAAATATGACAAACAATTTATGATAACCTTTCCCTATTGGGCCTCGCCCTTGTGGTCCAGCAGTGATCAGATTCACTATTAATAAAATTGCTTCAAATCAAATTTGGACAATATCCTTGTAGGAAAAAGAATTTTTAAGAACTTACATTTTCCCAATTTGGCCAACCCCTCTCGCCCTTGGGGGCTGGGAGGCACCGTTTATTCAGAACAAAGGTATCTCAGGGAGCAATGACAACAGGTGTCATAAGTCAGGCACCGGGCCAGGCTTAGCGACCTGTGAGTGAGTGTCTGATAACGGGAGGGTGTGCACCTGAGTGTTGAAACACCGTGGCAGAATATCGCCAGTATGAGTGATCAGAACAGGTAGATGCTTTCTCCTTTCTGCCTCGCGCTAGCGAACGTATTTGTAAGTAAAAAGATAAAAAACAATGTATGAGGTAGATCACAGATGGGAAGTTGATAACGGGTACTCCTAGTCGCACGTGCCTTCATAATTAGACGTTCCGTGGGTTGGGTTATTGTTGTCCAATAGGGACTGAGCTGAAATTAAGTATTTGGGTATTATTTATACTAAGACAATAGCCAGCAGCAGTTAGTCTGGGATCGAGTAGCTAGAGAGAGTTGGGAGTTGGGAGTCGGACGTGGAGACGGGCAGAGTCCCGTAGGGGACTTGCTCCGCGATGGAGCGGGCCCTGGCCAAGTCGGACCAAGGACATTTGTATGGAACTCTTTGATATGGACGGTTAACCTATAGAACCTGAGGATGCTTCTGTATGTTGATTAGGAACAATCTTTCTGTTATGGATATTAACGCGAAGTACTAACTATGGGAAACAACTATACGATGAAATAAACGTTTCGGCCAACCCAAGTAAACACAACGATTAGTCATTGTGTTACACTAGTCTTCTTCATCCAAGAATATTTCTGACCCAATTTTGGGTCTATACATTTATTCTTTTAGGAGGAGTAAGATTTCTAAAAACTTGTAATATTCCCCTTTCGGGAACCGTCCCTAAGGCCCCTGGGAACTGAGAACCAATCCTTACACAAACATTGCCCCCCCCCCCCCCCCATCCCCCCCCCCCCACCACCCCTTCATCCAAGAATACACCTGACCTAATCTGTGCCATATCTAATCATAAATCATACCTAATGGAAGTAGGATTTTAATGAATTTGCATTATTTTCCCATTTGGGCCCGCCCCTCCCATTCAAGGGGGCCAGAATCCATTGTCGCTTCCGCTCTACCCAAGGATACTTCAAAATAAATTTGAGAAATATCCATTCATTCCTACATGATTTGGTCCTTTTGAATCGGTGGTGTACACTGTGTTTGAATCGGTGGTGTACACCGTGTTGTGTATACATTCATATAAGTTAACTTATTATAGAAATAAGGAAAATAAATGTAAAAAGACACTGATACTAGGATTCAAATGGAATGTCGATTCGATTATATTTGTTTGTTATTTTAAAACATCCCACATTAACGTAACGCTATTTTTATAGTCCTGCTCACAAGGGGGTACATGAAAATATAGGTAAAACATAACTAAATTTTTACCGTCTCTCGTCCTGTTAATTTCATCTCTGCTAGTAGCATTTTAATCTCGCTGTCACCCAACATCTGGAGTAGTTCCTCATCTGTTTTGGCTTCATTCTAATAAACATGACGAATGCTCCTGATAAAATGACTACAACGATCGAGAAGGAACCTGAACCAATATTACAGTAAACAAAAAGACTGAGTCTAACTTTGATACTAACGGACAATTACTGGTGTATTGGACGTGTAAACGTTCTACATTAATTATAGTACAAGGTCGGCTCATATTTTGCAATATTGCCATTGAAGAATATCGATTTAAAGCAAAACTTTAAAACATCAGATGTAAAATATATCTTTAACAACTGTCACACATATGTCGCCAAGAATTATTTTTTTATTCTTAATTCTATACAGAAATCAAACCAAACAATACGATTCGAGACAGAAAACAATATTTCTTTGGTAAATATCAATAGTGTTTGTCATCAAACACTCGACAATAAAAGTTATCCTAAGAAGTACGCACTATTGTACAAGGCATGTGGTAGATACACTTACTTGGGCCTTGGCTAGTTTCTGGTGTAGTTTTGTAATAATCTGATGTTCCTTGGTGTGCTGATTATATACAATTTTCTCGAAACAACATCGTGCTAGATAGGGAAAGCCAGCGCCCTGCTGCACAAGGGAGAGCACTATTGCACGGCCTAGACAGAAGAACCAACGTCCCTTTAAAGCAGCTTTATTGTCAATCGGAAATAGTTCCTTCTCGTTATATTGGAACATGCGTCTTTCAGGAGCCATACATTCCTGATAAAATAGGGTAAACAGTTGGTTTCGAGGTCCCCCTGTATCAGTGGCCGGTTCTGTCCACCCGTCGATTGTGAACTTGACCTCAAATCGGCTTATTTCGCCTTCTGGTTTCCGGAGAAACTCCACAAAATCTTCGAATACCTTGTCTCGTCTGATAGTTAGTAGGTACTTGTTTTTCAGCAAAGTGGCGAGATCTGCTAATTCTCCCTCGAAATTTGAAACTCGTTGAGCAGATGCCATTGCACAAAGAACATCCCAAACGAATTTTTCACATTGCTTCTTGTATTATATATTAACTATATGGCCTTTTAAAAAGATGGTTTAGCACTGTTCAGTCGCACATATCATACACGTTCTGTCAACACGATACGTAATATCTACAGTTGGCAAACCCCCAAGATATTGTACTTCCTGTTTTAAACATGCTATTTCTGTACAGAGCCGACGGAAAGTTTATGATGTATTAATGTTGGTTGAATACCTACGTTAGGATTAACCTGGCCCCACTTGTATAAAACATCTCAACTTGAGATTTCCTCAAGTCCAGATTTTCCTCAGCTAATATCTCCTTGATAATATCTTGTATGAAAATTCCTCAAGGAATTTCGGGACATCCTAGCCGATGCCTTCCTCCTGTTCCTTGAGAAAATTTTATACAAGCCGTTTTTGAGGAGATATCAGCTGAGGAAAATCTCGACTTGAGGAAATCTCAAATTGAGATGTTTTATACAAGTGGGGCCTGTTGTCATAACCCATGATTTATATAAATCTACCATTGGGTTATATATTGGGTTGCGATCTGGATCAACGGCATGTCAAAATGTTTCGACTGGTTCATTCTTGTTTCAACAAGTACAAAGGAGGTATAGAATAAAATGTGATTGTTAACGGTTGAAATAAAAGTCTTTGTGTAGCCTTGTACACAACTAGAACACAAAATATCAACGCTGGTTTACGGTGCACAAAAGTTTGTTATTCTATTTAAACGTTCGTGATTTGCAACAAGAGAACATTATCAACGTATCAATGTGGCTGTTACCGAGTTAATTGAACTTGACAAGGTGGTGTTTACTGTAATATGAAAACACGTGTTCTCTACACTTGTCAATGTGGCTACTACCCTGTTATCTCACACGTGTCCTGTCCACTTGTCAATGTGGCTACTACCGTCTTATCTCATACGCGTCCTCTACACTTGTCAATGTGGCTACTACCGAGTTATCTTACACGTGTCCTCTACACTTGTCAATGTAGCTACTACCCTGTTATCTCACACGTGTCCTCTACACTTGTCAATGTGGCTACTACTGTTTTCTCACACGTGCCCTCTACACTTGTCAATATGGCTACTGCCGTCTTATCTCACACGCGTCCTCTACACTTGTCAATGTGGCTACTACTGTTACCTCACACGTGTCCCCTACACCTGTCAATGTGGCTACTACCCTGTTATCTCACACGTGTCCTCTACACTTGACAATGTGGCTACTACCCTGTTATCTCACACGTGTCCTCTACACTTGTCAATGTGGCTATTAACGTGTTATCTCACACGTGTCCTCTACACTTGACAATGTGGCTACTACCCTGTTATCTCACACGTGTCAATGAGGCTATTACCGTGCTATCTCACACGTGTCCTCTACACTTGTCAATGTGGCTACTACCCTGCTATCTCACACGTGTCCTCTACACTTGTCAATGTGGCTACTACCGTCTTATCTCACACGTGTCCTGTACACTTGTCAATGTGGCTACTGCCGTCTTATCTCACACGCGTCCTCTACACTTGTCAATGTGGCTACTACTGTTATCTCACACGTGTCCCCTACACTTGTCAATGTGGCTACTACCCTGTTATCTCACACGTGTCCTCTACACTTGACAATGTGGCTACTACCCTGTTATCTCACACGTGTCCTCTACACTTGTCTATGTGGCTATTAACGTGTTATCTCACACGTGTCCTCTACACTTGTCAATGTGGCTACTGTCGTCTTATCTCACACGTGTCCTCTACACTTGTCAATGTGGCTATTAACGTGTTATCTCACACGTGTGTCCTCTACACTTGACAATGTGGCTACTACCCTGTTATCTCACACGTGTCCTCTACACTTGTCAATGTGGCTATTAACGTGTTATCTCACACGTGTCCTGTACACTTGTCAATGTGGCTACTACCCTGTTATCTCACACGTGACCTCTACACTTGTCAATGTGCCTACTACCGTGCTATCTCACACGTGTCCTGTACACTTGTCAATGTGGCTACTGCCATCTTATCTCACACGTGCCCTCTACACTTGTCAATATGGCTACTACCCTGTTATCTCACACGTGACCTCTACACTTGTCAATGTGGCTACTACCCTGTTATCTCACACGTGTCCTCTACACTTGTCAATGTGGCTACTACTGTGCTATCTCACACGTGTCCTGTACACTTGTCAATGTGGCTACTGCCGTCTTTTCTCACACGTGTCCTGTACACTTGTCAATGTAGCTACTGCCATCTTATCTCACACGTGTCCTCTACTCTGGTCAATGTGGCTACTACCTTGATAACATAAAACCCGAGCCTGTCCGAGGCTCTAGAAACGAGGCAATCGCGTCTTCTACAACGTGTTTCACATACTGAAACAGTCCATGAACTAGGTCTTCGTCAGTAATAAAATATTTCTTTAAGGTCAAGTCATATGCAGAAAAGCTATTGAATCGTCATCTATCCCCCGCCCCAAACCTCCAAGAGAAATTCATGCATTGTTTTTACTTTCTATAAAAATCTTTATCATTTAGTATCTGTTACAATATATATTATTAATGACTACTTCACATTTTACCTAATATGACTTCATTTACCAAACCGTGTGTCATTAACCGAGCGTGGCCACAAGGTCAAATTTACATCAATGTGTGACATTAACCTAGTGTGACAATAACGACAACCATTTACCACACTGTGTGTCATTAACCGAGCGTGGCAACAGGGTCAAATTTACATGACTGTGTGACATTAACTCAATGTGACAACTGCGGTCCCCATTTACCACATTGTGTAGCAACAACAGACTTCACCTTAATGGTGTCCTCTTTTCTATATGATATATACCATATCTGACTTCACACCTCATGGTATCATCGCCAAAGTGACGTGAACGTTTCTGACATTGCTATTACTGGGATAACTACAAGAGCTCTAACCTTTACCAAGGTCGACAATAAACGGGGTACTTAAATGCCTCACTCTAAGACATATGACAACAACAACAGTCTGTCACAAGTTTGCTTTAGTAATGAAAGCATCTCATGACTTTAGTTTTATAATCTGAAGTATACTGACACATCTTATTGTAGATTCAACGTATCACTGTTATCTGGATATAAACAAAGATTTTCAGAGTCACAATTTTGTCTACCATATCCAAACACACCAATTTGACAAGCTATACTTTGACAATTTCCTCAAGTAGCGCATAAAATTCCTTTTCTCTGATTTAGTAGCGACTCCTGGCGGCTATTGTTATAAATTGGGGGTTATTTGTCATGAAATATCGACGTTCTACAGATACCATACAGTATGTGAATTATAGCACTATTGTAAACCTATGGACAGGAGAAACGAGACCTCGGTAAATCCTCGCGAATCAGAAGAGAACCATTGAAAAAAAAAAAAAAAAAAAACATGCCAACACAAAAACGAGGACATAATGTACATATACAATAATGTTATTGACCCGAAGATTTGAATTACCTGTCGTAATGGTACCCGAGTTTGATGTTTGATGTGTGTTGTATGTACATTGCGGTCTAGGTATTCATATCACGTTGACAATTTGCCATAATGATCATGTCGGAAATCTAGCTATTCATCAGTACAACACACAGACATCACTTTTTGGAGTTGTCATGATGATGTTATGGTTAGGCAGTCTGAGTTTTTTGGGCCAGGCGATTTTGTGTCGTAGATTTTTAAAAAATAATGATCTCCTTTTCTAAATTGATTTAATTTGATTAGATTTTTAAATGATTTTTTCCTGAATCATTTGGAGAGATGGCTTTAAGTATCATCAGATATGTATGTACAACTTGTTACTTGAAGCATTCTAATCCAATTCTAATTTTCTTCTTAACTTCAACTATTTGAGTTGCCTCCCTTTTCCTAATTTAAGATTACTTTACGTAGTGTGTTATATGATGTTCGTGTTTAATTGTGTATGTTACTATTTTAGGACAGTACTTATTGTCTTCCTGTTAATGAGATATTTGAAAATTGAAATTACACCAGAAGAAAAATCCTAAAAGTAGATAATTCCTTAGTTTTTATAGACATCTTGATTTCAACTAAATTCGTTTGGCTCCAAATACCATAGATAAATAAATATGGTATCCCGGTCTGAAGGTTTTAAACACATATCAAGTAGTTATTACGACTACGAATCACAAGATCACATTGAATGTTTAAATCTAGAAAACATTAAAGAAATAAAAGTAACAAATTATTAATTAATCAGAAATTTTATTTTCAAAACAACATTACTTTTATGCATTTTGTTTCTACAAATCGAATGATTTTTGTACTGGGATATCGTTGATGAATGTTTCTAAACCACATTGGACTTTTTAAGTACTATGATCTCCATGTAAGATCTTGGTCTTATCAAACGTGACATTAAGTAGCCTTTCCATGGATGTTAACTGGATCGTTTCATAGACTTTGATTATCATAAATAAAAGAAAAAGCATTAATATGTGAATTACAATGGAACTTAAATTCAATATTTTGTTTTACCCATTTGTATGTTTTAAAATGCTTTACGTGGTTTTTTGAGATAAAAAAGAAAAATTCTATTTCAGAGATGTGAAGAGTAAGCATAGTTATCCTAACCCATCATGGTTATACGAACGTATATATATATATATATAAAACATCAAAATTACCTCCATACTCCACTAAAGAAATGATGCAACAATACAACATATAATTTAGTTGGTCTTCCGATATGTAACATAATCTATCTTCCCATATATGGATACTCATTAATGTCTGTAACTGAACATAAACGCTCATTTCAGCATCAATTTTCTATATCGCGAATTGTTTCTTTATTTTTTTTTATTATTAATTTCTACAACAAAATTCTACAAGTAATTGCTTAACTATATACATAAAACAAAAATCACTTAAACTAGTTCAGTTCACCGCATACCCTCTTATTCTACATTAGTTCATTTCAACAACATGTGCTTTCGTTATATTTCATATTCTGTAAATTTGTTTATTTTTCTCGATATTTCTACAGACCTAAAAACAGAACTCCTTGACAGACACCTTCAACGTAAAATGTCTTTCATAATTTTGCTGAGTGCTGAATCAAGTTCCAAGCTATTAATTCAAACCTTGAAATAACTTGATAAACGTACACATACGGTACACTGCTGTGCCGCCTTACATATCTAATTACAAAAAATGACATATTGCCATTCGTCAATAGACCTTATGATGGTATGGTAGATACTCAAAATACCGTCCTGTGATTTTTATGTTATCACGCTTTTCCTTTCCTATCGCCTGAACATATAACAATGAGATAGAGGCTACATTCTGTCTGTCGCAGGAACCATAAAACTTCTAATCATGGTTCAATGTTTTTGGATAGCTCTGATTTAATTAGTTGTTCCTAGGTTTGAGGCAAACAGGATACACTATTCATTAAAGACATGTGGTGGGCTATGGTATTCCCTAATGATCTTATTTCCACAGGATATCGTTTTTGCGATTTTACTCCCCCTCATCCCCTCCTTTGAAAAAACAAGATATATAAAGTAAATTTGATCCCATCAGAGTACGAAACGATACCACTGTGCATTTTTAGTATCTAAGTGTGAATTCTAATTGTTTATACAAACTAGTTTTTGGTCTAGTTAAAAGGAATACTAATCGAAATAGCGATTTTCGATTACCTACCTTAACAATGTCCTTCATAACCAAGGTAATAGCTTGTGTACAAATAAGCATTGTTATTGCAGGTGTTGATAGGTTTCATATCATTCAAATGCAAACCAAAATGTTTGTTTCATAAAAAGCACCAAGAAGCTGACAATGATCATAAGTTTCTTCGCTTGATGTATGAGTAACCTCTGAAATGGTATTTCATTGTCATCAGTCATCCATTTAAATCCCATTTAAAGATGTGTATGAGGGACTTCCCAAAGTCCTGTCGAAGAAGCGTTCTTGATAAAGCCTGGTGACGCGACAAAACCATCATCCTTGTCTATGTTGTCAAATGGGTGATCTTGGTACGCTGATCGTTTAGAGGATGCTGGTCCGTTTACATACATTAGAGAATTGTTCCTTTCCTTTGAAGTGCTGTCAGATGCTAGTGAAAGTCTCTGTTTGATAGAATTCACCCAATCATCAAGGACATACTGATCTCGTGTTTTGAAAACGTAGTCTCTTCCGTATTTCTTCACTATCAAAACCTGCATTTCTGAAACACAATTGTTATAAATACTTTCAAATTTGTATCAAGATACGGCCATTCATTACAAGCAATATATATTTCTATCGCATTTAACGTCAAAAAGATAAAAAAAAAAAAAAAAAAACCAATTAAACGCTGTTCGTACTTACCACCAACTGACGCTTTCGTCACTTCCGACACTTCTGAGAACTTGAGTTCCTTCTCGTCATCTTCTCCCCATCGGAGAACACTAAACGACTTTCCGTTAAGACCAACATCTACAAGCGACATATCCACCTTGTGATCCCATCCACTTTTAGTCTGTTTATAAAACGATCCTAGAAATACAAAAAATCGTTTTTCTTTTTCAAAAATGTATTCTAAGTAGAAAAAACAATCGTTTTCAGGGCATATGTGTTTGTACCTGATAATAAAAACAACACGAAAATACCAATATGAAACATAATTATAATCTAAACTCTAATTCAATAAAACAAGGGCAAAATATGAACATAAGAAAGGTCTGCTCGGAGACTCTTAAATGTTTCGAATGAGCAAGCGTCTTCTGCTTCATTGACGACATCCGCCATGAAATCTTGGTCAATCCAAGTAAGTGATGCCATGTTCTAAAATGAGATCAAAGTGTCCAGCCATAATGTCGTAAAGGTTGCACAGTGACATAAAACTATGCTAAATCACGAAATGTAAAACACATAACAATCGATACCATTACTAAATAGATGATGAACTTTTGATTATCAGCAATAAAAAAGCAATATGTGTTTACCTTGATGGATCCTCTGCTGTGTATCATCTTGCATCGCAACGACTTGGCCCAGATTACGTTGCCTCTTTCTTAGTTTTGCCGAAAAACCTTCACCTTTCTTCTTGAACTTGTGGCTTAGCTGGTCTTTTATATCACCAACGGTGCGTTGAGGCCTTTTAACCAGTTTCTTCAACAATTTGATATAGGCTTTTAAGAAGTCCTTCCCAGCCTTCTTGTCAATGAAGCTTGAGTTGTATTCAAGTTCTAGATCAATTTCATGTGTTGTTCTGTCGTGCCACACTCGCATTACGCTCTCCTTGCTGTAACTTCCAGTCAGAGTGTTGACCATTTGTATCATCGGTTTTTGTGTATTAGCCCCACTGAAAGCAGAGTCAGGTAAAACATTTTCGAAATTTGTATCCTCGATTTTGACCTCCTTTGATACGGTGGATTCCTCAAAAATGATCTGATGTCTCAGCACTGATAGTGGCTCTTGTTGTTCAGAAACAATCTTCTCTATTTCCTGAAGAGGGAACAGACTGTTCTCCAAGCACTTTCTTGTCTTTGCGGCATTCTCTTTGATCATATCTATAAGTAGCTGATCCTCATCGCTGAAATCTTGGAAGAGCGGAATCGTATTCACCAGAGTGGCAATATCTTTGTTAAGAGTAGGGAAATGCAGTCTGAGGTCAACGATAGTCAGTAGCGGAATGCAACCCACTCCAAGAACCAAATGAAGGAAGAGTTGATAAGTTGTCTGCATGAACTGGAATAGGGTCCAGTTATTCTTTTCGATCAGCTGCAAAATATTGTTAATCAATTTCTTTGGTGTTTGTATCCTGGCAAATGTCACTCTAGAGGGATCGCACTTACAGCTGGTCGAAGGAAAGAACGTGACAGGTTGAAGGTTATTTGGGATTCTATTTCTCCAGAAGGTTTCCATAAGATTTATATCCTTTTTGAGACGTTTGTATACCATTTTTGGAATGTCATACGTCGTCGTTGGCATGCTAATGGATATGTTTGGGTAGGTTCTTCCGAACTCTTGAATTTCTCCGAGAAAAAGCATCACAGATGTGTTGTCGAAACATAAGTGATTAAAGACGAAACGTATTCTACAGTTTTTGCCATCGTTTGCAAAGAGAGTCCGAAGAGGGAGGTCTTTTGCAGGATCAAACATGTATCGTTCCCGTGGAAATGGGACTCGGTCTCTTGAACTTATGTCTCGCATAGGGACTTCTTTGAAATCGACTTCCACATCCTCTTGTGAGATGACGATCTTTTTTATTTCGTCTTGTGATTCACTCTCCTCATCTGGCACAAAAATCGTCCTCATCAATGGATATTTGCCGTGAATCTCATACAGGAAACTCTTCCATATTTCCGGAACGGCAATTGTTATCATTACGTCAATATCGAGACAGATGAAAAGTCCGGGCGACATGGGGTCATTTCGGTATTTGTCGTAGTACCGCTTTTCCGGAAAAGTGAGCTTATGGACCATACTTTCTTCCTCCTCTTCCTCCCCAGACATATTCTCCATTAAGTACTCAGCGATGCTCCCAATCGTTGTATCATCCGACATAAGCAATATAATTGGAATTTGGCAGTTGGTGACTTCGGCGATTTGGTTGGCAAATGTCATTGCAAGCATAGAATCCACTCCAAGCTCGTTGAAGGCCGTTGCTGGTGTGAGCATATCTGCATCAATGCCGAGAACTTCGCTAGCAACAGCTATGATAAACTTTGTAACATTTTCAATGTTATCCAGTTCATAGTCTAATGCTACTGCCGATTTGTCTTTTCGATTTTTCCCTGCATTAACAAATGTCTTGAATCTTTGTCTAACTCTCATCATAGACGGATTGAGCAGTTCTCTACCTATGATGTTCCAGTCGAATATGCCATATGTAATTTGGGGAACTTCCATCATCATAGCGTTTTGTAAACATGTAAGGATCTTTGGTACATCCAGGGAAAGGTACCCACGCATTGCAAGGTCATCTTCTGTTTTGTTATCTTTGAGCATACCAACAGATAAAGGACCCCAGTTTATGCTTTGCCCACACATATCGTTTGCTTTTCGGAGATGTGCAAGTGAGTCCATGAACGAATTGCCAGCTCCGTAATTGCTTTGTCCAATGTTTCCCATAACTGATGTCATTGAAGAATGCATGACAAAAAAGTCCAAATTATAATCTTTGGACGCTTTATGCAGGTTCCAGCTTCCCACAACTTTTGGCAATAGCACTTTTTGAAGATGCTCCTCTGTCATTTTGAAGAACATTGAATCTGCAAGCACTCCAGCGCCGTGAAAGATTCCTTTCACTTTATATTGCGGAAATGTTGACTCAATGGTACGAAATGCATCTTCAACTGATGCACTGTTTGAAACATCGGTAGAAAGGTAAGCTATTTTTGATTTAGTGCTATCCTCTAATTGCCTTATTTCAGTCTTTTTCTCGTCATCTGGCTGTCGTCTTGAGAGAGTGACAATCTGACCGGCTCCAGAATGCGCTAGGTACTGCACTATTTCCCATCCAAGGCCTGTCAGACCCCCAGTTACAACGTAACAGCCATCATTTCTTAGAGCTTGGTCTTTGGAAATCTTAAGATTTTTTTTCTTGCTATCTGTACTGTAGTTCGGCCGTGCAAAATTCATGGATGTTCCAGGTACAGATAATCCTGTGTTTAATTTGTCAGCGTTTTTCATAAGCCATTTTATCACTTTTGGTACAGTCTTTACCAGTTCTTTCTGCCCAAGCATCTCTTCGTTGTCTAAAGTGACGTACTGGATATCAGGATATAAACGTTCTGAAGCACGAATAACAGCTTTTGGAAGATACATTTGTAGTGAGAGCACTCTTTTAACATTTGCACTGGATTCAAGCATTCTTGTCAGGGATTGTTTATTGACTGCAGATAAGACGACGAGAGTTTCCGCTGTGTTTACTGAGGGATTGTTACAAAGGTCTTCATATGTTACACATGTGGATTCCAAACCATCATTTGTGCTGAGCATTGCTTTCAACATGACTGGAGAAATGTTCGAATCGTTTTTACGTGTCACAATCATGGTTGATGTTTTTGTAACAGTTTCTTTGAGTTGCCACAAAACTGCTGCGAGTTGGAGTAAACCTGGCTTGTATCCAGAAATATTACCAATATTGCAAGTGCAATCCTTTGGTATGGTGACTTTACTTTGGACGCTCATTGGGTAACAAGCCACAAGCCGTTCTTGTGTTTTATCTGGAGGATGTCCAATAGCTTCAAATGTGAGTACATCAAAACCATCTTCGTTGTCCTCTATCCACAATGGGACATTGCTCTCAGCAGACTGAAGTGTGAGGGGATACATATCTGGGTCATGGAGAACCACAGTGTCCAGTGTTAAGCACACATGATTTCCAGGATTGTTCTGAGTATCTTGTATAACGTAGAAAGAGTCTTGAATGTCGTCAGGGTGTTTGCTTTTTAACTGAAGATCCAACCTGTCATCAAAATCCACCCATCGAGAATCACATTCCTCTTCATCCTCTTCAGCAAATTCGTTGGCATAAATCCCATCCTCTAATAACAACAGCTCCGGAATGTCCTGAAGTGTCTGATTACATCCAGTCATCAATGTGCGGAGGAGTGGAGCAGTGTCCGGCAAGGAAAGATGTGTATCCAGAAGCGTAACATTGAGAGGATGTTCACGTATTATACACCTTACCATTCCCCATAACTCTGCTCCCAGGACACTGAAGACTGCACAGTCACTATTTCGAGTCTGTTGGGTTCCCATGGTGATTACGAATGCTGGAATGTTGCCATTGACCTGTGCCATGGTTTGTGAAATGGTCAACATTGTACTGCAGTTTTTCAACACAGCTTGATATAAGCCTTCCGTACCGGAATCATTTATATCTTCCTGTGTTCCTGCGATGAATAACAAGCACTGAGGCCGCTGCTGTGGGTCGTTTAGGATATCGATCAAGTCATCCTTAAATGAAGGCTTTTCAGCATCGACAATCGTTGCATCAGTATTTGACAAATTATCTGCTAATTTATCCGCTTTGTGTTTTGCCAGTGCCACAATGACCGCCGTGACTTTTTCAGCTTCTTTCCCAAGGGATATCGATGTCTTCTTTTGCTGCCATTGTATTCGGTATGCCATCTTCTTCTTGCTTTCCTGTTGTGGCCCTATTATAATCACCATGAAATCTTTTATTTCGACTATAACACTGCCATCCTTTGATAAAAGCAGAGCATTGTATGTCATATTTTCCTCAGTTCTTTCAACCATTTGAACATATGCATACATGTGCCGTTCCAATGGCCTGTTTATTCTGAGACGCCCTATTCCTCCGGGTAGAACTGTCATCGATTTGTCTGCGTCTATATCAAGTACTCCAGAAGTTTGGAGTAGGCCATCTAACACTGCCGGGTGGATATTTGTGTTGTGAAGATCTCTCATGATGCCCTCTGTCAAATTGATGTCAACTAAGCATTCTGTTTCATTCCTCACTGCATTTCCAATTATCTTTAAGTCTTCCCCATATGAGAATCCAAGACTTTCAAGTTTATGATACGTTTCCGACGCAGTCTGGCTCGATTTGCATCGTTTTCTGACCAATAACAGATTCAGGTGTTTGGGGCCATTCTCACTTACATCGATAGATATCGTACAATGGGCAATTTTGTCATCGTTGTTGAAAACTCCAAACGTCGCTTTGGACTTTGTTTCTTCTGTTACAATCGCCTCTGGGACGCTGGCCTTTCCTTGAACCAATCTCAAAGGACGCAAAAACCGTGTCGATACCTGCAAATTTTGCATTGATGTTTCGAATACTTGCTTTCCTATTTCAAGTGCAACGTCTGAATAGAACGCTCCGGGAAGTAGAATAGTACCACCAACTACATGTTCATACACAAATGGTGTTTTGGACGGGTTTATATCAATCTTGAACTGAATTCCCTCTCCTGGCATTCGTTCTACACACAAGTGATTTGTGTTTGAATTGCCAATGCCCTGAACCATCAGTCGTCGTGTGTCGGGTTCAAAAAGGGATTTCACCTCGTTGAACGCGTATGTTGGAATGTCGGTGAGTCGCCCATGTGTGACGATTTTGTCCCAGTAAGGATTGCAACCATGCTTATACAGCTCGAGTAGAGATGTTAATATAATAGATTGCTCCTTGTCTGTCGACATTGAACCAAATGCAGCAGCTTCTTTTGAATCGAGAATATCGGGTAAATGAGCACGAAGGACAGGTCTTGGTCCAATTTCAACGTATATGTTGAAAGGGCCGCTTTTGCTTGCTGTTTCGATTCCCTTTTGTAACAAAACAGGCATTCTGACGTTCCGCTTCCAATATTCTGCAGTTGAAAAATCACCTTCTATTGCCAATTCACCAGTTACCGTTGAAATAAGAGAGCATGTTGGCTGCTGTCCAGACAAGCCATCTAAATGCGTTTCTAGTTCTGTACTTGCCTGCTCTGTGTGATGACTATGGTAAGCGCATTTTACATCAAGTTGTTTGATGAAAGGTTTTTCTTTCAATTCTTCGTCTTCTGTAAGTACGCTACTGATGTGATCAATGGTATCACCGTCACCAGAGAGTGTACAACTAATCGGACTATTCTGAACTGCGATGTTAATTTTTCCGGGAAATTTGTCACACAATGCCTGCACGTGCTCCACAGGACATTTTCCAACCACCATCATTTTCCCGCCAGTAGCATTAGCAAGTATCCTTGACCGATGGTAGATAACTTCTACTGCATCCGAAAGGGAGAGAGCGCCACTAATGTAAGCCGCTGCTACTTCTCCCACGGATTGGCCAAGAACTGCATCAGGAGTAATTCCGTAGAACTCCCATAACTTCGCATGGGCTATTTGACAGGTAAAGATGGCTAAATGGCTTGTAAGAGGATCTTGTACGTCTATCCCATCGCGAAATCGATCTGCAATGGACCAGCCGCAAAGAGGATGGAGAAGATTGTCTACTCTTTCAACTTCAGAACAGAATACAGGTTCTTTCGCCATCATTTCTTTACACATTCCGTTCCATGAGGTTCCTACACCACAGCACAAGAAGACAATATTTGGTTTGCTGAATCCTGGTGCTTTGACCGACTTCATCGAGTTGGCTTGTTTTTCACATTTTCCCGCTAATTCAATACAGTCTTTAGCAGTGAAAGCCACACGATAACCAAAGTGGTCCCTCCTCATTATCGACGTATATGATACATCACATATTTGATACTTTCCCGTTTTCAATTTGGCAGCAAATCTCTCAAGTCCGAGCTTGACGGATGAAATATCTACTGCTGACAGCGTCACAAAGTGTTCAGTAGACTGGTCATCTTTACAAGAATTGGTTGTCTTCTCGTCTGGATTTGAGAGTTGTTTGACGATTGCATGGCTGTTTGTCCCACCAAAACCGAAAGAATTTACACATGACATCCTAGTGCCATCAGACAATCTGTCCCAATCAGTGACACCGGTTGCAACTTCAAAATTGAAACTAGGAAAATCTATCTTAGGGTTCGATTTACGGTAATGAAGATTGGGAACGACCTTACCATGATGCATCATTAACATGACTTTAATGAGACCTGCGATTCCAGCTGCCGACTCAAGATGGCCGATGTTTGTCTTTACCGATCCTATCCTGACATCAGAGACACCTTTAGGGATGATCTTGTCTTTTGAAAAGAAGGTGCCCAGACTGTTGGCTTCGATAGGATCGCCGACAGGTGTACCGGTACCTATTTAACAGAAATTAGGCCAATTAAAAGATGATTGGAAATTCTTGTTCAGATGAAAGTTAACTGATGATTAAAAATTCTTCAAACATCAAAATAATGAAGTTTCAGGGAGATATCCAAAGAGTTCCAATTCTGATAATAGGATGCTCGGCAAGGGTCACTTAAATCCTGTGTAATGAAAACAAATTGGGAATTATCTCCATTTGAAACTCAAGCAAATGAACTTTAATCGCCCTATTTTCTTTAATCACAACGGTGTATGTTCCTTATTTATGATATTGTCTTTCACCTCACATAATGATACTGTGCACTTTACTGCCTTGAAGAATTTTACAAATAATATTAAAAAAGATTAGACAGAAGAAAAGAAAATCTTTTACCATGGGCTTCGATATACTGAATAGTCTTCGGATCGACATCGTAGTCATGGTATATACGTTCGAGAAGGGCTGACTGTTGTCTACCAGATGGCGCAGTTATTGGAGTGGCGGTGTGACCGTCCTGGTTACATCCGGTTACTATCACACACCAGATTTTATTTCCATCTAGCTTGGCCTAGATCGTCATAAAACAATAAAATAAGACACAGATTGTTAAACATCGTCATCGTCGTATTTGTTAAATACAGAAGCGTATTACTTACCTTGATTATTTACCAAATCCTACTTCCGGTGTGTACCAATTAGTCTTACCTGTTTTAGACTCTTGATGATGACCATACCGCATCCCTCTCCCCTGGCATATCCGTCAGCAGTGTCCGAGAAAGCCTGACACTGTCCAGTGGCGGAAACCATCCGAGCTTTACTTAATGGAACAAAAATGTGGGGGTACAAAATACTGTTGACACCGCCACATATCGCAGCTTTGCAGTCACCTGAGATATTTGGAGGAAAAGAAAAAAAAGACAAATAAATGCATGAAAAAGTATTGCCTTTACACATTTTGTTATTGTTTTAAAAGGGTGCAGTACACTTTGAGTTTACGCAGACAAACATACATATACGCTTTTCTTTCCCACTGTCATAGGGTTGTAGCCATGTTTTTTTTTATATATATAAAAATGTCATTTTACTCAAACTACATCACGTAACGTCATCAGACTATGTCACGTTATATCGTCAGACTCTGTAACGAAATATCGTCAGACTATGTCACGTAATATCGTCAGACTATGTAACGTAATGTCGTCAGACTATGTCACGTAATATCGTCAGACTATGTCACGTAATATCGTCAGACTATGTAACGTAATGTCGTCAGACTATGTCACGTAATATCGTCAGACTATGCCATGTAATGTCGTCAGACTATGTAACGTAATGTCGTCAGACTATGTCACGTAATATCGTCAGACTATGTCACGTAACGTCGTCAGACTATGTCACGATATATCGTCAGACTATGTCACGTAACGACGTCAGACTATGTCACGTAATATCGTCAGACTATGTCACGTAATATTGCCAGACTATATCAAGTAATATCGTCAGACTCTGTCACGTAATATCGTCAGACTATCGCCAGACTATGTCACGTAATCTCGTCAGACTATGTCACGTAATATCGTTAGACTATGTCACGTAATATCGTCAGACTATGTCACGTAATATCGTCAGACTCTGTCACGTAATATCGTCAGACTATGTCAGGTAATATCGTCAGACTTTGTAACGTAATATCGTCAGACTATGTCACGTAATATCGTCAGACTCTGTCACGTAATATCATCAGACTATGTCAGGTAATATCGTCAGACTGTGTCACGTAATATCGTCAGACTATGTCCCGTAATATCGTCAGTCTCTCTAACGTAATATTGTCAGACTATGTCACGTAACGTCGTCAGACTATGTCACGTAATATCGTCAGACTCTGTCACGTAATATGGTCAGGTGATGTCACGTATTATCGTAAGACTCTGTCACGTAACGACGTCAGACTATGTCACGTAATATCGTCAGACTCTGTAACGTAATATTGCCAGACTATCGTCAGACTCTGTCACGTAACGACGTCAGACTATGTCACATAATGTCGTCAGACTATGTCACGTAACGTCGTCAGACTATGTCACGTAATATCGTCAGACTATGTCACGTAAAATCGTCAGACTATGTCACGTAACGTCGTCAGACTATGTCACGTAATATCGTCAGACTATGTCACGTAACGACGTCAAGCTCTGCCACGTAACGTCGTCAGACTATGTCACGTAACGACGTCAGGCTCTGTCACGTTATATCGTCAGACTATGTCACGTAACGACGTCAGGCTCTGTCACGTTATATCGTCAGACTATGTCACGTAACGACGTCAGGCTCTGTCACGATATATCGTCAGACTATGTCACGTCATCTCAGGCAACACACTTCTTTTGCCGACAACTGACAACATCTGTTATCAATGATTACGAATATATGCGAGATTTAAGTTTTGAGAGAAATATTTTTCAAGATCGTGTTTATGGAGTTTGCAGTTCCCAGTAGTATGACATAAAATCATCTTACAATTTGATGGTTGCTTTCTTCATTCCTTTGTTTCCAAAAACTATTTTTTTCAATAAATTCAGTTTGTAGTACATCGCGAGGAGTGAAAACAGTATTTATCTTTTAAGTTTAATTTCTGTTGCTTAGCTTGTAATCCACAATTACGTATTGTGTTCATTTCTCTTAGAAGACAAATCAGCAGCAAGGCATCATCTGCTCTAATAGTATAGACTGGACAGAGAGCCTGCGAAATAGCAGTAAATTAGTTAATATGAACAGTATTCTCTGGGGGTCACTTAGAATTAACATTGAAATGATGCAGACTGACATTTCAACAAAGGAAGGGAGATAACTACAATGCAATTTGTTCTGATAAAATGTTATGTCAGGACACCAGTAAATATTTCTACGTATTCTACATTCAATTTAACGAGAAAGACTGACTGGACAATCTGTGGTTATAACTAATATTTGGAATATAGTTGAAACAAGACAATCCCGCGCTTAACAGAAGGCAAAGTCACTGTCTCCTGATTATTTTATACTTTGTTGTAATAAGTAAGTGATACGATCTGTTTAAATATGAATTTAATTGAACAATAATTACGATATTAATCCTTCGTGGTGGCGCTCGAAGGATCGTACATTGTCTGACAGGAAACTGGATTGTCCTTAGATGCTTACTATTTATTTCATGACAACCCGATGTTGCTAACTTCAAACTATTAATCGGTATGATATGTTAAATGATACATTTGAGTGAATGAATATTTGACATCTAGTTGGATTCATGATAATATAATATAATATAATATAATATAATATAATATAATATAATATAATATAATATAATATAATATAATATAATATAATATAATATAATATAATATAGCTTCTAGTGTCTTACACAGTCCTAACGTAAAACATAAATACTGGTCCGCTTGCTTTTTAAATTTGATGATGTACCTGACTTGATGGCTTGAATAGCAAGATGGATGGCGACCAGTGAAGAGGAGCATGCCGTGTCTATACACATGGAGGGACCTAACAGATTGTAGATATAGGACACACGTGCAGCAATGATACTGAGGCTGGAACCAGTCAGTGTATAGTTCGTCATGGCCGTTAGTTCATCATTCGCCGACTCCCTGTAGTCGTCGTTCATAGCGCCTGATAAAACATCAATGAATTGATTTCTAGTAACAAGTATTTTATATTTGTAGAAAGGTGAACTCAATTGTAAGTAAGATTCATGATAAACCAAGCATCCATATGATGTACCGACTTATTGTATACCATATCGCCCTTAGTCAATACACCAACTTAGTCAACACAAATTACTGACTTATTGTATACAATATACCGCCTTAGTCAATACACCAACTTAGTCAACACAAATTACTGACTTATTGTATACAATATACCGTCTTAGTCAATACACCGACTTAGTCAACACAAATTACTGACTTATTGTGTACAATATCGCCCTTAGTCAATACACGACTTAGTCAACACAAATTACTGACTTATTGTATACAATATACCGCCTTAGTCAATACACCAACTTAGTCAACATAAATTACTGACTTATTGTATACAATATCGCCCTTAGTCAATACACCAACTTGGTCAACACAAATTACTGACTTATTGTATACAATATACCGCCTTAGTCAATACACCAACTTAGTCAACACAAATTACTGACTTATTGTATACAATATACCGTCTTAGTCAATACACCGAATTAGTCAACACAAATTACTGACTTATTGTGTACAATATCGCCCTTAGTCAATACACGACTTAGTCAACACAAATTACTGACTTATTGTATACAATATACCGCCTTAGTCAATACACCAACTTAATCAACACAAATTACTGACTTATTGTATACAATATCGCCCTTAGTCAATACACCAACTTAGTCAACACAAATTACTGACTTATTATATACAATATACCGTCTTAGTCAATACACCGACTTAGTCAAGAAAGATGAAATCTTAGCCAACACAATTTACTGACTTATTGTATACAATACATCACCTTAAATACATCGACTTAGTCAATACATTATAAAAGTTTTTTCTACACGGAATACCGACTTAATGAAGAACATGTCGACTTAATCTACACTGTACAGCAACTTAATCAATACACTATACATATGTACAAACACAATATACCGACCTTATAAACATTATATTAAAACTTTCCCTGAACAATACACAGATTTCGTCATAACAATACACCGTCTTAGTCAATACAATACACCGTCTTAGTCAATACAATACACCGTCTTAGTCAAAACAATACACCGTCTTAGTCAATACAATACACCGTCTTAGTCAATACAATACACCGTCTTAGTCAAAACAATACACAGATTTAGTCAATACAATACACAGATTTAGTCGATACAATACACAGATTAAGTCAATACAATACAAAGATTTAGTCAATACAATATACAGATTTAGTCAATACAATACAAAGATTTAGTCAATACAATATACAGATTTAGTCAAAACAATACACAGATTTAGTCGATACAATACACAGATCAAGTCAATACAATATACAGATTTAGTCAATACAATGCATAAATTTATCGAATACTTCTAATAAGTCAAAACAGCATTCACGTATTGTAATGGAACTATGAATTTAGATATACAGTTTCGGATGTATACCTATATAAACCCCGGTGTCTGTCTCGTTGAGATCTTGCCTCGTGATGCCAGCATCCTCCATTGCCATGTGAACACAGTCGAGCACGTATCGCTGCTGGGGGTCAATTCTTGCCGTTTCCACCTGACTAACTCCGAACAGCTTGTTATCCCACGTATCATATCTGTCAAACAATGATGTGTAGTTAGATAGCGTTTCATACAGCACCGTCTCCTTTACCAAATGTGTAAAAATGTAACTACCACTTATGTATTAGTATAGGAAATCTTGCTTCCGTCAGCTCAGTGGAGTTTGCTCGACACGCTTTGTTTTGCTCAATAAATAAATATAATATGATAGCGACAGTTGTATAGATATATAAAGTTAACGTGTATATACATCTCAAAACAGATTATACTGAAACAGCATATATGTCATATTCCAAATTATAGAACGATCCCCTGTTAATGCCTAGTAGAGAAAGGACCTGTTTCACGCTACGTGTAATTTTGCCCACAACCCTATTTAATCTTTATTGTATGGTATTTGTCGTACCCCAGTAAACTAAGAAAGTATGTTAAAAAACACCCAAAACTCGACCATGACCTGTACTATTTTATTATGCTTGTCATGGGTGTGAGCCAGAGTGCACATCTTAACCCCTCAAAAACCTATAACAAATCATTAAATTGGTACAAATTCTCTTCATTAATGTCTGCTGCATGTTTTGAACTTAAATATGAAGCTAAGTATTACAAATATTATCAAAGTACTGAAAGGCTAAACGTATTGAAAAATGTTCACAAATAACCGCTAAGCTATATTACTTTCCCCATACTCCTACACTTTGGAATGCAAAAATTACTGAAATAAGAGAACCAGAGGCTATTTTTCTTAATTTTAAGCGATTTTATATCTTCTTTAATTCTTATTTCAAATTTGACGACAATAATGTGAACAAATCAAAATAGGTAAAAAAATAACTAAATACACACAACCATATATTTATCGCCAACAAGCCAAATGATTAATAGCTCTATGATGAAGTTGACTAAATAGAACCTTTGAAATACCCAAGATGTTGCAATTACTATCCTATCAATATGAGGATTTAAACAAATCGGAAGGACTTTATACCTACTTCTTTATTTTGAATGTATTGCAAAGTGATAGTCCTTACTTATTATAATTATATTTGTAGTTGAGGAAAGTAGATAAGGTGTACACAGCATTTCAGATAGATTAAAGTGTAATTAATTACATTAAATGTATTTACATGCCTATCTTCCTTGAAGTATCATGGTTAGACTTTTCTTCCAGTCATTATGTCTATAAAGACATAGTTCTTTGAGATTAAACCAGACTTCCATACATATACAAAATTTACAATATTTTCACTATAGCTACTACTATTTCTGATCTCCAAAGCATTAGATAATGTCACCATGACACGCTAAATGAATAAATATGTTATTGAAATATTTCGTTCTAGTTAATTGAATTATAAACATGAATATTTTGGGTTTTTATACGCGCTTTGTTTGAAGGAATATTTTCATTTCAAGGAACTTTGATACACATTAACAAACCTTGAGAAATCAGCACAATCAACCTTCATCAAATAAAACTAAAAGACAAAAAACATAAGTTATAACAGTGTCAACATCATGGTCAGTATAGTATTCAAAATATCTTATTCATAAATCATGAGCACCAAATGTACCTTGCCTACGAAACGCAAACTTTTTATCTTGAAAAACTTGAAAAAGTGTCATTGCGGTGGGTGTGAAAAACCTGAAAAAGTGTCATATCGGCGGGTGTGCGCGTGGAACGAACAGTCCAATTCGATGACGTCTAATGAGGTAAAGTGATGTTATATATTAAGACGATCTTGCCACAACGACAAGGATTAAAACAAAATTGATGTTTTGTTTGTAAGTTTTGTTTGTTTATAAGTGTTGTTAGTTGATAATTCAAACCAAGCCCCCAGACTAGCTTTTTATCATGGAGCCAACGCGCACGTACAGTGTTCTGTACGCTTACGTCATGTCGAGAATTCCGTAAAATATATTGTTCAAAATTTATCAATAGTTCAACCACACTGTGCTTCTTTTTTTTTAATATACAGTAATCGTATTGTTATTAAAAAATAAACTTATTTTGGATGCTTTTAAAATAGCGATTTGAAAGATCGCGGCATTATTTACGCTGAAAATTGCCGCTAGAGGGCTCTAACTCTTTTCGAAATTTCAGCCAATGAGAAGGCCAGGATTGGTAAATTTTGTCTGAAAGGCCGTCGCAATAGGCTATGCGTACTGAGTACGTTTAGCCTAAAAATGACTGAAGTTTAACTGGGATAAAATAATTATTTTTCATTAAAATATCACTAAATTCAAGTTTTTGGAAAACTGTTTGACAAACTTACAGTTGCTGTTCACCTGAAAATATTTACATATTTTTGGCCAAATTTAAGCGCACTCTGGCTCACACCCATCGGGGAATTTTTGAATTCTTAAACATACATTCTAAGAAGTTTAATGAGGTAGTACAAATAACATACGATCAAAATTATAATGGGATGTTGGCAAATTAACATGTACCATGAAACAGGTAATTTGTTGATTTTATTATAACATTATCAGATGTTTTAGATTAAATGGTGTGTAATATTAAAACGTCCAGTCTGGTTAGCATCATACTTGCGGATGAATCCCGCCCTCCTGACATTGGTCTTGCCCGGTTCCATGGGGTCTTCATTGTAGAAGGCGTCCACATTCCAACGTTCTGGTGGGATCTCAATAACATGATTTTCGCCATTAAGCAGGACCCTCCAAAACTCCTCGAGGTTGTCAGCTCCAGGAAATTTACATCCTACCCCAACGATGGCGAAGGAATTCTCCTCGTCCATCGGGACTACAATCACAATGATGATAATGAAGTGTTTATGGTTTTTTTCGGAGTAAGCCAATCAGTATCAGGATTGTGTCCTTTTTAGTTTTTTCTGCAATGCTCTTTATGTGTCTGGCTATTAGAAGTTATAGGAATCCTAGTTATTGTTCAGCCATTTACTTTTCTTATCCATATAAATAAATAAACAAATAAATAAATAAATAAATAAATAAATAAATATCCAGTATTTTTTAACTTCCTAACTACTTTTTCCTCACGAACAACTAATAGGTCAATACCACGTTATTGATAGTATACTTAGTATGTAAGATCACGTTATTGATGGTATATGTAAGCAATTGTCCCAGAGAGGAAGACTGAACATTTTGTACCTCGGGATTAAATTGGTCTGCGATATTCTTGCTCTCTGAGTTAAAACTCGGCGGGTTAACTTTGTTAGCCTTAATTATACTGTTTTATATTCGGTCGATTTGATTTTCGCATCTGTATCCTCTCCTAACATAGAACATAAACAATAATATGACATATCTTGTTTATCGCGAGTACAATTTGGACAAAGGAAAAAACTGTATCAATTTAAAAAAAAAATGGCGCAAAATCTACGGTATAGCAATCCTGCAAAATGTACCGATATGTTGGTATTATGGGGTGGGGTAGGGGGTGGGGTGGGGATGGTTGTGGGGGTGTTGGTGGTAACAGTGACATTGTCTTTACGTCATTGTAAACGTAGAACGCTATAACGTACCTATACAGAGTTAAGTACTAAAGGAACAACAACGACAGTGTTGGGACATACCTTCCTGTATGATAACGTTATCATCATTATATATGGATGCGTTTAAGATACTGACTCCGCGTATAGTTTGTAGAGACTTAAATAAGGTTTCAACATTAAATGTCTGTGTCCAAATGGCAGTCATATTTTCCAGTTATGCTCAATGCTGCACCCACAACGAACAGATTTATATTGATTTCGTATTTTAAGACGAAACAATGCGTCCTTAGTGATCACATTACAATGATGACATTTCAGAATTTTATAGTAGTTAAGTAAAAAAAGATGATTTAATGAGAATTTGAATTACCTCACGTTTTAATAATCTACTTAGTTAAACAATATTTTATTCAGTAGTCAACAGTTTTACACATACATGTTTTACATTGGGATGGAAAAAACAAGCCTAGACATCATATCTATTCCTTTAATACTTGCTTGAAACAAACATTTCTATTGGTTGATTCCTTGTCTCTCATCCCGTCGTCGTCTGTTACATGTATTTTGATTGGCAACTTTGCGCAATGATTACGGAAAAAGTTGATTATTGAGATTCAAGACCAGGCGCAGCAGTAATGTAGATTATATTATACACATTTACTTTGCGGTTTATGTAAAATATGCCACGTGTGGTTTGTTTTCCGGCAGCGTTTTGTGGCACTTCTATAATGGTATTGTAATTAATTGATAAAACATTCTTCCGACAATATCTAAAATACCTTAGTGTAAACAAATAACACCTGGTGTACATAATAACGTTAGATTCTATTCTTTCAAATATGTAATTTTGATTCCCTAGTTTGCTACAAATTCAACTTCGTTTACATTTCCATGAACTTGCTAATTATCCTGGTATGTTAAATGTACTTACCTCAGCAGCTGGCATATAAATTCCTTGCTTGGAATTATAAATAGTGTGTCTACTTCAACTTGGTAATGTTCGGAATATATACTTTGGTCCCACTCCTTACATACACATTCTGACACCAACGGAACCCCGCCTCTACTTTCAATAGTTGTGTTCACGTAGCCCCTGCTGGTATTCGGAGTACACGCTTTTACCAGCCATTGCCGGCCTGTTTTCATTCGCTCTTCATATAGCCCCGCCTCCTATACTCCGCCCCGTCGTTGTGGTGCATATTACTTCTCACCTTTTTCCCCTTAGAGTTCCGAGAGTAATGTGAAAAAGCAACTGTACAGATATATGCAGGTATAAAAATCTCAAAATATACATTTACAACTCAACAATGAACAATGCTGTGATTTAAAGCGGACATGTTCTGAGAAGATTTTAAGTCTTTGAAAAAAGAAAGAAAAATACCAAATATTCCCGTACAAAGCTCCGAATTGCCATCATGTTCGTTAACCTGAAATTTTGACACCGTTGCAGACCAGACTTTAATTATATATCTATAACACACCGTATAGATTATATATATAAATTGGGTAACGTAGCATAAGATAAATTCCAACAATATCTTTGGGTAATTCCAACGATATATTATACAAATCTCTTTATGTCACCGTAGATGTTTGGGTACACGAGAAAAAAGATATATACGCATAAGCATATAGGTACACTTAATTCCTGACACTTATCAATGTCAATCAGCTACAGTGTTGTATAAACAATGTAAAAGTGCCAAACCATGCTGTTACACAAGATGTTAAATATATGGGCTCCGTAAAGACATAAATATAGCTCACATGTCATGATGTATAATTAATATATCACTTTAATATGTATCATGTATTTTTCCACACAACCACAGTGTTTCCACCTATCTTTACTTTATCGAAGTCTTGCCTTTTCTTTTGTCTTCGCTTTGCGTTTTCTACGTTGACAAATATTTAAGTGACTTTAGTAATGTGGATAATAGTCACACTAAACAATAGCCATGATGTAATGAAATATTAATAAGACTAGAATAATATGCTCTTAAAATGAATTTTGCTTCTCTGTTCATTCACACAAAAAGAGCGTTATTATGTGTAAATCAATGCAATAATACTGTGTTGAAACAGTCAATACAAACACACGAACTGACCTACTAACTTACCAACTTACTAACGAACGAGCCACCGAGCGAATGATATGTTTTCATTAAATGTTTTTATTTCATTATTTGGAATCTAGTGCAAATACAATTTCCCCACATGTCTGAGAATAATGAAATGCGTCATAATCCCATCATTCCATCGAGTTGAAGAGAAAATGAGTGAGAGATGTTTAACGGTTAAAAATGGAACCTTATTGAAACATATCCGTTTTCGACGGCACAGTTTTCCACGACACCGGGTCAGTTTTCAACTGGGGTCAATTTTCAACGGGGTGCCTGATTTTCCTGTGGCAATAATAGATCATAAAAAAAACATATTGCTTGTTTATCCAAACATGTTTCGGACGTCATTTTGACAAGTAACTCGGGGCGGTACCGATACAGCCTTGGGTTGTTATTAGTTTATGTCTACTGCTCGGTAAACTGTCTGACGACACAATCGATAGTGTAGGATAATAGTGTTAATTTTGAGATGTTTATTACCTTGGTTTTGTTTGTTATTGCTATTATGCAGGTACTGTAATATTATAACTACAATGTACTGTGCATGCCATAAACTAGGTGTGAGGTGTGTTCCCTATTTCGTGACGTATCACAGGCTTTGTCTCGAATCGAGTTCAGTTGTCTCGAATCGAGTTCAGTTGTCTCGAATCGAGTTCGGTCTCGAATCGAGTTCAGTTGTCTCGAATCGAGTTCGGTCTCGAATCGAGTTCAGTTGTCTCGAATCGAGTCAGTCTACAGCGTAAGGTATGCTATTTCATGTACGATATACCGTTGTTCTTACGTTAATAGTACCGTATCTGCTGTTGTAATTGACGCTACTTTAGATTTGAAAAATAAACATTGATTTAAACCAAAATCGAAGATGTCATTGAAGAATTTACTGTAACACAAATTTTAGCTTGAAGATTGAGATCTTGATCCGATTTTAGTACAAGTGATTGTGCTATAGTAGTCAAATAGTTAGCATTACAAGAAAACCATGTTCCCGTGTTCCTAAAGATGTCAAATCCGTCTCATAAAAGAGTAACAATTGTACTTACAAAATGTGAAAAGTGATTTTTTATTGGAAATGAAGTTGAAATTGAGGGTAGATTAAATATATCTGAATAAGTTAATCTATCATAACATTGTGGGTAGGTTAACCAAATCAAAATGCGTTAACCTAATTTAACAACGTGGTATATACAATATGTGCTGTTTAATTACACAGTTGACACAGAAAGCTTTGATCAACATGTTTGGAAAGGTAATTTCATACGAGTTCTAAAATACAGAGTGACGATGAGAATCTGGATGAACTGTTTGACGATTTGTTAGTAAACTTTTCTCTTCTACATCAAATAAGATGGTTAAATTCGTGAAAACACGAGGTTTCGGAATAGCAGATGATACGTTTGTTTAGTCAGGAAGGAAGAATAAAATTCAAGAAATTAAGTTATAGTTCTTTCAAAATAAATATGTAAAGGAAAAGAAGACTTAATGTATAAAATACGAAACATTTTGTAGTCATTAGTTTAAACACGAACAGTAGATATATTTCAAGGTATTAAGACAGAATTCTTAGGTATCAACAACTTTGTAAGACAAATATTCTAAGATTCTACCAAGTATCACGAAAGGTGAAAATTATAAATGTTACTGAAAATCAAAAGTGGAAATGACTAAAAGGTAAACTTATTTACACATTCATCAAAGAAACGAGATTTTAAAAAATGTATATTTTAGTCTTGTAATGAAATTGATTAGTTTTTCAAAAATATCAAATCAAGAAAAAACCTATATTTCAGTATAATAATAACTCAAACTTAAATTCAATAAAACGACGGCAAAATACGACACAAAAGAAGATCTACACGGAGACTCCTGAAAAAGTACATAGAGAATAAGACAAAGTGTTTCGGAAGTTTATAAGACAAATATGTACAAGTTTCCTCTTCTTCATGGACGACACCTACCATGCAAATCTGGGTTGATCCGAGTAAGTAATGTTACTTTTTCAGATGAGAACAAGGTAAGGAACATGGAACCATCCAGAAATGAAAATTTCATTATTTAATTATTTCTGATATTGTTTTCATAACGATTTAAAATTCATTACTCATTATTTACTTCAACCTTCACTATAGAACCTACATTTTGGCTGTAAACAAATTTTGTTGT